CATTTCAAACACAGCTAGAAAGTTCTGAGTACACAAAGGCTGGACAATGCCATTGATTTGGCAATGCTAGTCATCATGACCTTAAGCCAGTATCACACAGACTCATTCACATATCAGCCCCATTAATTCAGGTGGTAGACACTCAGCTAGCACACTCTCAGAGGCTGGCCACAGCCATTCTCATGTCCTGCACGCTGCTTCAGTGCTTAAATCATTCATTCAAATTGTGCCCCAACTCACTCGGAAATTGCAGGCACACATTTGGATCCTCTCCATATCCATCATTTGGCCATCTCAGAGCCTGCCAGAACCAGTGCAACTTGGTCTTTGCAGGGGTAACTGCAAGTCTCCACACGGTTTGTAACAGTTATCTCTTTATCTCTCAGGAGTAAAGACTACCTCTGTGCTTTTCTCATCTCCTGGTGGGGCTAGTGCCCTTGGGGATTGTGAGGTGAGTGCTGAATGTGGCTGTCTCTGGTGTCCCTGACATGTCCCTTTGCTCACCTCTGACCCTCAAGTACCTAAACTGATGAATGTTCATTGTGTGCAAATGTTGAGTTCCATCTACTCCCCATTTTCTAATGATCTTGAGACAGAGGTGCAAACAATAAAGACAGTGGGTACTCAATGTAACAAATCCCCAGGGAAGTGGGAGGGGCTGGGACCCAGAGCCCAGTGAGAAGGGCAAGCCCCAAACAAGACCTCTCTTTCAAACCCAGGGAGAGTGTGGCCTAGAGAACATTGCAGGTGACAAGAGAGAAAGCATTCACTTAATGGCCTCCGTTTGCTCTAAACACAGAGGTTCTTAACCAAGGGTCCACAGCCCCTCTGGAGTCTATAGAGAGAATTTAAGGAGCCCATGGACTTGGATGATGGAGGCAGGAAACTGCATCTTAATTTTCACTATCAGTAACAGGAACGTCCTTCCAGGGGATGTAGGTGACAAGCTAAAGTAGTATAGCAGTCCCTGTGGCTTTGTCACCAACAGAAATAAGATTTTCATACCTTATCATGGTTGTTGCAGATCTCTCAAAATAATATCATTATTTTATTTTTTAAAGATCTTATTTATTTTTAGACAGAGGAGAAGGGAGGGAGAAAGAGAGGAAAGAAACATCAATGTGTGGTTGCCTCCTATGTACCCCCTACCAGGGACCTGGCCTGCAATCCAGGAATGTGCCCTGACTGGGAATCAAACCAGCGACCCTTTACTTTGCAGTCCAGCACTCAATCCACTGAGCCATGCTAGCCAGGTATAGCTTGGTGTTTAATATATTGATAAAGAAGCACATATATTATAATACTACATGACAGATATATTTCTTATTATTTCAACAATTGTATTTCTTTTATAATCTGTTTATCTTACACATTCATTGATCTGGGAAGGGGTTCCTTAAGATTTCATCAGACCACTACAGAGCTGTCCACAACACAAAAAAAGTCTAGGAGACACTGCTCCAAAGAGTAACAGTGGCTTACATTTACAAAGCTCCTGCTAAAGGCCAGGTACTGTTCAAAGTATCTTTAAAAAAAAAAAAAATATATATATATATATATATATATATATATACCTCAATTCTTAAAAAAATTAAATATATATATATTTATTTAATTTAACATACTATATATATAGAGAGAGTATGTTAACTCATTTATTCCTAACATCTCTACAAGGTAGGTGCTTTTATTATACCCATTTTATAGAAGAGGAAACTGAGGCACAACGGTTAAGTAACTTGCCCAAGGTCATTCAGCTAGGAAATGATGGATTTGAGATTCAAAGCCAGGCCTTCTAACTTTAGGGCCTGTGCTAAAATGTCAAGGACTTCAATTTGTAGAAGGCCAAGGGGTAAATGGGTTGAGAGTGTGGTGAGAACAGGTAAAGAGAGAGGGGAAATGAGAGAGAGAGGTTCTACTCTGGCCAAGAGAAAAGTAGAAAGAGGTCACTAGGCTGGAAGAAGATAGAAAGACCCACAGGCTTCAAGGAGATAAGAGAAGTGGTAATGGGGAGGAGACCCAAGATGAGTGAGAGAACACAGTCGGGGGGAGAGACAGTGGTATGTGGGTGCCAGGGACTTGGGGAGTCATTCCAAGCCATGACAAGGTTAATAATAATGTGGCCTAGACAGAGGTGGTAAAAGTGGAGGGCCCTGAAGTTGAATAGGTGAAGGAATTATGAGGCCGGGCCTGCAAATTCAAGACTGATTGGTTGATTGACTCATTCATTCATGCATGCATTTGTACTGGTACATGCAGTCAGTGTTCTTGGCATTGGGTCACCCAGAGGTGAACTAGCAGAACAAGACTCTGCTGTCTGCTACCATGGGCTTACTTTCCAGCAGGAAAAGAGCTACACACACACACACACACACGCACACACACACACAAGGCCTGTTAGACAAGGCACAAAAGCTTTTAGGCACAATTCCACAATGTCAGAAGTTCTGAAAAGCAAAAGGTGTTTTTTTTTTCATATCTTAGAGCCCAAACTCATTAGGTAACTAAACCTGAGCTGAAGTAGTGTGAGGCTATTTATAGTCTTGATTCACACTTAGTGCAAATTTTCATACTCTTCACTCTAGAAATATTGATGTTTCATTATAAGTATGCTCTGAACCTTTCTCTGTAGTTATATAATACAGAGTATATCCAGCATATAGTTATATAATATGGAGTTTATGTGTTCCTTTCCAAAATTAAAAAAATTCTGAATTCTAAAACATATTTGGCCCCAAGTTTGGAAAAAAGATTATGGACGTGTAAGTGCTATGCAAAAAATTCCAATATGTAATGTGTTAGTTTGCAAACTGCCTCCCGTACATAGAGGGTAATTAGAGATGGAAGAAGGGCGCAGACCACTCCAGATTGGGAGGTGGCAGGTTTAATAAGCAAGAGAATTTACATATGAGGCTTGTCTTGGGTGGCCACAAGATGAGATTTCAGCACCTACCCGTCAGAATTTTAAAAGTTTACATAGAGGCCTTAACAGGGTTCAGTTGCATATACTGTCCAGATGGTCTCAGCAACTCATTGCTCTCTCAAAGCCGTGTCCTTGAAATGTCTCTGGCTGTGGGAATGATGGGCAGAGTGGATAGGGGTGGGGGTGAGAAGGCCTTGATTTCCTGGTTCCAGCTGGCAGGACAACTGGCAGTCACATCCCCCTTTTTTTAAAGCCTTAAAAAACATTTTTATATATTTGTTCTTAGAGGGGAAGGGAGGGAGGAAGAGAGGGAGAGAGGAAGAGAAATATTGATGTGTTGAGAAATATTGATGTGTTTAGAGGCAACCAACATCGATTGGTTGCCTCTAAAATAAAAAAAAATTTAAGATTCTATTTATTTATTCTTAGAGGGGGGGAGGGAGGGACAAAGAGACAGAGAGAAACATCTACGTGCGAGAGAAATATCACTCAGTTGTCTCTTGCACTTGCCCAACTGGGGACCTGGCCTGCAACCCAGGGCTGTGCCCTGACTGGGAACTGAACCAGCAGCCTTTCAGTTTGCAGACTGGCACTCAATCCACTGAGCTACACCAGTCAGGGCCAGTCACATCCTCTTGATCACCTCTTCCAATCCATCGGGATAGTAACTAGGTGGCTATAGCTTGAGTGGTCAGGGAGGGCAGGTGACATTTAAGCAAGTCATGGCGACAGGCAGTCAAGCAAAAAGCAGGGGGAGAGCATTCCAGGAAGGGGGAATAGCTAATGAAAAGATGAACACAAAGAGGCGACTGCAGCTGGAACTTATTGGGCCTGGTGAGGAGCTACAAATTGCTAGAAGGACTTCATGTTGTCAGAAAGATCATAAGTCTGGTACTAATAACTCTTTTGATGCATATGGTGTAATAACCATGAATGTGCTGGTTATCAACAAACAGGAGGCCAGAGGGGAGTCTTCCTGGGTGAGAAAGCATATGGGAAGATAGTTGAGATAGAGGAAACAGGAAGCTGAATGGGGCTGAAAATATACAGTTAGATTTATGACTTGAAGGCCTCAGTTTGGGGAAAAGTATAGAAGGAAGTCAGATTAGGTAGATTAGGTGGATTCAAGATTCTAATCGGGAGACTGGTTGAAAGATGTTCTAGGTCAGTGGTCCCCAACCTTGTTGGCACCAGGGACTGGTTTTGTGGAAGACAAGTTGTCTGTGGATCGGGGGTCAGGGGATGGTTTCTGGATGATTAAAGCCCATTACATTCAAGCTCACCTCCTGCTGTGCTGCCCATTTCCTAAGAGGTGGGGACCAGTACAGATCCATGGCTCAGAGGTTGGGGACCCTTGTTCTAGATGACCAAAGACCTGGTTCATAAATGACGGCCTCTGGTTGAGGTCCAATCTGCAATGTGTGATCTGGGCTTTTGGATTCAAAATAGTTTAGACACAGAGGATATTAGCGAAGGTTGAACTGGTGAAAGATGTTTTTGCTTCTGTTTATGCCTCTCTGGACTGTGCTTCTCATCAGCTCTGTCTCCAAATGTCTGTCTCCTAGCTTTTGTGTCTGTTAGTGACTTTCCACATCCCTGTCTCTGTAATCTGGCCTGGCATCTGTGTTCCTTGCAATGTATTCCTCAACATATTCGTCTCTACGTGGCTCTCAGAATCTCTATCTTTGGATATTCATGTCTGTGTCCCAGAGTCTGATTCTCTTATCTTCCTTTGTCTGTGTCTGTACTGTAATTTTTTCCAATTTAACTGTGCTCTCCTGGAAGGCATGAATCTTTATTATTCCTCTGGGCACCCCCCGTGGCACACAAAAAGGCTAGCTTATGAGTCTCTCAGACTCATTTTTCTGAGTAAGGGACATTCTCTCAACCTCCTGCCCTTCACCACCCTTCCCCGCGGATCTGGCAGCCTATCCCCCAGCCTGCTAGACTGCCGGGTGGAGGGTGTGGTATCGTGCTGCTGCCTTTTAGTTCTTTCCCCAGGTGGCACGACTCTTTGAGTTGAGGGCTCTTCACAAAACACTGCCCCGCCGTCCGGACAGCGGACGTCCGCAGTCAGTTCGCGGACGCTCGGACGCCCCGCCCCGCCCCGCGGCTTCGCCAATCAGCGAGCTCCTGAAGGGGGCGGGGTCTGAGAAAAATGGCTGCGGCGTTCCGGAGCTTGAAGGTATTTGGGCTCTTGTCCCTGCGGCTTGCCCCGCTACCTTGCTGGGACCATTGTGGCGTGGAAGTAAGGGGAGGAGATGGGTGCCGGGAGACATGGTCACGCGTATCTAGGCCTGGTATTGCGAGGATGGGACTCGGGAGGTGAAGGGTAACTTCACTGCACGTGTTTGTAGGTTGGTGACTGGATGGACTATCTGGGGATGAGAAACCTAGAGGTTCCATCAATAAGGAGAGGAGGCACAGCTGAATCACTCTGCAGGGGTGATCTGGAGCCTCCCTTGCAGAAACCTGGAGAACAGGCAGATGAAAGGGTCTGCACGGGGTAGCTGTTGACAGTGCGTTCTTCACAGGGTTTAGTGGCCATAATAACCGGAGGCGCCTCGGGCTTAGGCCTGGCCACAACAGAGCGACTGGTGGAGAAGGGGGCCAGTGTTGTTCTTCTGGACCTGCCCAGCTCGGATGGGGAGGTCCAGGCCAAGAAGCTAGGGAAGAACTGCGCCTTCGCCCCAGCTGACGTAAGTGGAGTCACTTCACCTCTCCTCAGGACTCCGGTCTGGGAACCCACGGGGTTCCCCTCCTCCCATATGGTGCTGTGTATGTGAGCGGTGGACCTGTCTCCTTTTTTGTTCCCAACCGTGGGGATGGGGATTAGACGTATCAGAATCTCCTGGAGAGGGTATGTATAGTTGGAAAATTCCTATGGTGCCCTCTAATTTTATATTCACACAGTTGAAAAACTTCATGAAACAAACGACAGACAGTAAAGCTTGATGCAATCATCGTAGCAAGTAGGGGTACAAAAAAGCTAGTCTACCTTCCTATCACTAATTCTCAAAACAGTGCTCTGATCCACAGCAATTGAGAATCTCCACTGGCATGTGAATGTGTCAAAAGAGGGCCTAGAATTGAAAAAATATTTTGCAACACTGCTCTGTAGTCCCTAATGTTTTCAGCTTTATCCCACTCTCAAGTTTTCTCCTGGCCTCTTGCTACGTAATTCTGCCCTTCCCGTCCCACAGATTTAGTGGTGTGTGTGTGTGTGTGTGCTGGGTGATGAATACCTTCTCCACCTCTCCCTCTAAAGGTGACCTCCGAGAAGGACGTGCAAGCAGCCCTGACTCTAGCAAAAGAAAAGTTTGGCCGTGTGGACGTGGCAGTCAATTGTGCAGGCATTGCAGTAGCCGTAAAGACATACAACTTAAAGAAGAACCAGGCCCACACCTTGGAGGACTTCCAGCGAGTTCTCAATGTAAGGCCTTAGAGGTTCTCCAGGGGTAAGAATAAGAGGTGTCTGGTGGTGGATGCCCCCAAAACTTTTAGAGGACAACAGGCTGCCTCTGCCTCAGATCCTTAACCATATCTCTACTGATCCTCCAGGTGAATCTCTTAGGTACCTTCAATGTGATCCGCCTTGTGGCTGGTGTGATGGGCCAGAATGAACCAGATCAGGGAGGCCAACGTGGGGTCATCATCAATACTGCCAGTGTGGCTGCCTTTGAGGGCCAGGTGTGTGAGCAGGGCCAAGGCTTATGCCTCCTCAGTGACTTAACTGGGGCCCTCCTACCTACAACCTCCACTCTTTCTCCAGGTTGGACAAGCTGCATATTCTGCTTCCAAGGGGGGCATAGTGGGCATGACATTGCCCATCGCTCGGGATCTGTCTTCCATGGGCATCCGGGTGATAACCATTGCTCCAGGTACACATATCCTGTCCCTGCCATACCTGGGGTTGGGTGGGATCCATGGGCAACGAAGAGGGGAAAGTATCTACCACCTATGCAGAAGTATCCTTGCATCTGAGCATAGAAACGCGACAAGGGCTAAGATAAGGGGGGGACGGGGTAAACATGAAAGCGAGGGCGGGCCTCTGACTCTGGCTCTTTTGTCTAGGCCTATTTGACACCCCACTCCTGAACTCCCTCCCAGAGAAAGTACGCAACTTCCTGGCCAGCCAGGTGCCCTTCCCCAGGCGACTGGGCGACCCTGCTGATTATGGTCATCTGGTACAGTCCATTATCGAGAATCCATTCATCAATGGAGAGGTCATCCGGCTGGATGGAGCCATCCGCCTACAGCCTTGAAGAGAGAGGGTAGAGAAAACACTCTTCCAGCCTTCTCCCCCCGCCCCTGCACACTGTGCTATAGTTTGGGAGGAAGCTAGTAGCCACTTTGTAACTGCCCACTAGTTATCCTCTGTGCCTAATAAAGTATCTTTTACAGGAAGTGGGCAGTGCTGTGTGCTGGGAGAACTGACATAGGGAAGAAAGGTGAATGGGTGAAGACTGACAGGTCAGATGCACAGATCCCAGGGGTGGCCAGGAAAAGCAGTACCTCACGCCTTTGTGTCCTGTTACAACACACGACCTTGATTTTAGTGAATAACTTTATTACCTAGGCTCAAAGGTGGGTGTACTGGCTCAGCTATCTCTGGGGAATGGATTGTGGTCAGGAGGGTCTGTAACATTTTCTTCTTAGACTCTGTAGCTTCTGTGAGTTAGATGGGGGTGGAGGGAGGAAGAGACAACCATCTTGAGCTCAGCGACTGCTGGTGTTGAACTGTAGGTAATAGGCCATAGGTTGATTGGTGTAGATTATTGAATTCAGGTAATTCTGCCTGTGAAAGAAGTCCAGAAGTTTAACTGGTGGGTTTTTCCCTCTTTCCCTGGTCCTCACCATTCCTCCCCACCCGTTGGCAGTCATTCCTGCTGGGCACCCCTAGAACTTACTGGACTCTTTGCTCCTGAGCCAGCTGCTGGTTGAAGGAGCCCAGCCCCCTCTGGAATTGAGCACACAGTTCCTTCTCCTGCTCTTCTAGCTCCAAGGCTGCTTGGGCCAGGTTAACGGTCTGGCTTCCCCATTTGGCTTCCAGTGCTTTTTCGGCCTGGCGCTGTGCCTCCTTTTCATGACGTTGGGTCTCCTGGGATTTCTTGATGGTAGTTCCAGGCTCTGGAGTCATGCCCTTCCAGGAATGGGGCAGGACCTGGGAGGGAGCCTCAGCGGGGTGGGGGATGTGTTTCCCAGTCAGGAGGCTGCTGTTGACCTGGTGCCGGGTGTCCTTGAGGCTGGCAGCCTGTTCACGCTGACGCTCTTGGCGCTTCCGCTCAGCCTGCGCAGCTGCCTGGTGGGATCCCCGAATGTGAATATTTGGGTGCCCAACCTCAGGGAACTCTTTAGTCACGGGAGGGGGAGACATGGCCCTCCTGTCCTCCATGTCATGGACAGAAGGGAGATACTACATGGCCCTTGGATGACCTAAGCTGGGGAAGGGGTGGAATAGACAGAACTTCCCTGCCTCTGGAAGCCTTTAGATTGAGCAGCTGGGGAAAGGAGAGTACTATTCTGTTCTCAAGTCATCCTCAGTCTGAAGGTGGGGAATGGTATCTTCTACCCTAAGAGGGCCATTGAGTAAATGAGGAAGTCACCGGGTAGATGAGAGGCTGGTGTCGATTTGAGAATTGTGAGGGGAAAGATGTGGCTGAGGTTCCCATGACTTTGTTCAGGGGATTAGGGAGAGCCCAGAACACTGGATGGCTTAGGCCTACCTGGACTCTGTTGGCGTTGGCCACGGCATACCTCATGGCTTTGCAATAGGACTCCTCCAGCTTGGCCAGCTGGGCGGCCCGCGTGTCCATGGCTAGGCGCAGCTTGTCTCTGAGCTCATCTACATAGAGAAATGTGGCCGGGGCACTGTATTGGCCTGTTCCATTCCTGGTTCACTAATGTAGCTGTGTGTTCAATGAGTATTGTTGGAGTGTGTGTATGTATGTGTCGGAGTGGGGGCAGTATTCTAATGTAGGGATGCAGAAAGTGTTACTCTGTAGGGGTGAGGCTAGCCAAAGTGGCAGTAACCAGAACTTCTCAGGTGCCTGACCGAAAGATGCCTCTAGTGGACCTGGGTCCCAATGCCAGCTCTGTTGCTTCTGAGCTGTGTGACATTAGGGAAATAATTCCGTCTCTCTGAGCCTCAGTCTAAGAGCCATGTGTTGGATTCTGAGGACACCGCAAAATTAGATCCTTTTCTCAGAGATTCTCTGTCTAGTGGGGGGGATGGGTCAAATGGAGATCATCATACTACAGTGTGGTAAGGTCAGTGATACAGGGCATTATGAGAGCTTTAGGTAGTGGGTGAAAATAGGCTTCCAGGAGGAGGCGATCCTTGAAGTGCATGTTGCATATGGGCAGAAAGAGCAAAGAGTATTCTAGGCCACAGGCATAACATGAGCATAGGAACTGACACTGAATCAAGCCACACTGGTCTTGCTCTGGAACATGCCAGACACTCTTCCTACTCTTGGCTCAGCTTTCCTGCTTCCCTCGGGTCTTTGCTCAAATGTTACTGTTTCAGTAAGGCCTTCCCTTTCTCTCCTATTTAAAATTGCAGCCTGCCTGCCTCCAACATTTATCTCCCCTGATTTTTCTCTCTAGCATTTGTAACCATCCAGTATATGCTACATTTAAAATTATTTTGACTATTTCCTGTCTCTCTCCTCACTAGAAGGTAACGTTCGTGAGGGCAGGGTTTTTGTCCCTCTCATTCACTACCAAGTGCTAGCACCTAGGTCAGAGCCTGGCACGTGGTTGGTGCTCAATGAATTCATTCGACAAATATTTATTGAGCACCTACTATGGCACATAAAATGCAAGTGGCTAGAGAGTTTTGCAGGGGCCACAATAAGGGCCAGAAACTTCACCAGAGGGTGGTGGGGAACGTGGGAGGATTTTAACCAAGGAGGTGAACTGGTTAGATTTGCATTTCAGAAAGCTCCTGGTGGGACACAGTGGAGATAGGGAACCCATCTTAGAGGCCAGGCAGCAGGCCAGTTGGGAGGATTCAAACTAGACGAGTGCTGGAAAGGCTGGAGGGGAAATATGGGAGGTTACATCAATAGGACTTGGATGAGGGAGTGAGGGAGAGGAGACTCGGGTGCTTCTCAGGGTGCTGGCTTAGACGACTGGGTTCGTGGTGTGGCCACCACCACAAGCAGAAGATAGAGAATGAAGAGCAGGTTAAGGGGCACTGATGAACTGTGTTTTAGGAAGCTGAGTTAGAGGTGGTAGGCAGGCATCTGGATATGTGATTCTGCAGTTAGAGTCAGGACAGAAGTGATGACATGGCAGCTGAAACCAGAATGAGGGCAGAGGACATCTGGGGTAAGTATGCAGGGTAGGGAGAGCAGTGTGTTAGGGACGGAGTCTCAAGAGGGAAAGAGTAGAAAGCAGAGGAACTCACAAAAGGCAGACAGAGAAGGATGGTCCGAGAGCTGCGAGCAGAGTGTGCTGTCACTGAAGCCGAGGAAGAGAGAGGTTCAAGAAGGAAGATGTAACTAGGGTCAAGTGTAGCAAGAAAGATCTAGTCAAGGAGAAAAGTAAACAGAGCCACTTGGGCCTGAAAATAACAGGGGCCTTGGTGGTTTTTGTAAGAGTACTGGCAGTGAGGTTGTGTGGGGAGAGGAGCTCTGAGAGGCTTGAGGTGTGACTGGGAAATTAAGAGACAAGTGGAAGCAGAGTGTTTTAAAGGGTATGGTTGTAAAAAAAAAAAAAAGGTACGGTTGTAAAGGCAGGCAGCTAGCTCACAGATTCTAGCAGAATCACGGGGTGGAGGGAGGCTTTTGTTTCTTTAAGTGGTTTACACTTAAGCTTGTTTACAGCCTGAGTGGAAGGGGAAGTGTTAGAACACAGGGAAGCGGATATGTTGCAGAGCACAGCCCCTGGGGGCGGGGCGGGGCCAATGGCGTCTGGAGCACAGGCTAAAGGCTTGGCTTTCAAGAGGTACTGTGGCACGGACTTCAGAGACTGGAGGGCTGGGGATAGGGGGAAGAGGAAATAGGGGGGGTACTGTTTATTTCACTCTTCACAACAACCCAAAGAGGAAAGGATCGGCCTCATTTTTCAGATGGGGACACAGAGAGGTCAGAGGCAAAGTAAAAATACCCAAAGTCACACAGGTGGCAAGCAGCAGGTTGCGATTTGAATCCAGGTCTCTGGAAGAATCAGCCCATGCTCCCTCCAACCCACTTCACGACCCCTCACTCAGCACGGTGCTGTGTCTGTGCCCAGCTCCGTTTTTTCCCATGCCTGTCTGCTGCTCTGACAGAAATCACCCACTGCTCCTACTTTCCAAACTGATACGTAGGTCTCCGTTCCTATCTGAACTGCTTCAGGTAACTGACATTATTGACAGCTCCCTCTCTGAACTTCCTCTCTTGACCTCTGAGGTGCCACTTCCCATTTCCATCACCCACGAGCTATACCAAGTTACTAAGTATCTATGTTCTTCAGTTTCTTCTGCTGACAGTGGGGATAATAGCAGTAATTGCACCACAGGGCTGTTGTGATGATTCAATGAGTTACATACATGGTAAAAAGTTTAGCACAATATCTGGTGCACAGAAAATGCTCAATAAAGGTTTGCTATTATTATTGTTGTTATTTTATGCATCTTTTTCCTACCTCCCTGATCCCTTCTCAGTCTTTATTATAGGCTCCCTTTCCTCTACTCATTCCATCTACTATGTACCAGGCCCTGTATAAGTCACTGGGGTTGTAGTGGCTAACAAGACATCTTTGGCCCTGGCTGGTGTGGCCCAGTGGATTAAGTGCCAGCCTGTGAACCAAAGAATCACTGGCTTGATTCCCAGTCTAGAGCAGAGGCTTGGGTAGCAGGCCAGGTGCCCAGTAGGGGGTATTCGAGAGGCAACCACACATTGATGTTTCTCTCCCTCTATTTTTCTTTCCCTTCTCCCTTCTAAAAAAAAAAAAAATCTTAAAAATAGACAGCTTTGGTCTTTGTTCTTCCAGAGTGCACCATTTGCTCACTCTTTTCCTAGGTTCCAGGCTTAGCATTCTACTCATCTGTACACACACGCCCCTCCCATCGTGGTCCCAGATCTCTCCCTGCAGCCCAGACTGGCCCTGGAACTTTAGGATCATACAGCTACATTGCTGTTTGTCAGCCACCACCTCTTGGCTGCAGTAGTCTGCTTGATCTCCCTGCCTCTAGTCTAACCGCCTCTAATCCAGTCTCTACAGTGGCTGACAGAATTATCTGTCAAAAACACAAACATGTGACTTCAATGCTCCAAACCCTCCAGTGGCTCCTAGTAAAAGCTGAAGTCCTCATTATGGCCCAGAAGGCCTACTTGATCTGCCCCTGTCACCTCCCTGACCTCACTTTCTACCACTCTTCCCCTCACTCTACTGCAGCTACTCTGGCGTCATCGCCCTTCCTCAGACATTCTAGACATCCTCTCTCCTGCCTCAGGGCCTTTTTCACTAGCTGTTTCCTCTACCTGGACAGCTCTTCCCTCAGATGTTTGTGCTGCTCACTCATCTTTAGAACTGTTTTCAAATGTTATCTCAGTGAGGTTTTCCTTATTTAAAATTGCAACTGTGCACCCTCTCCAAAAGTCCCCATTACCCTCCTGTGTGTTATTTTTCTCCCTAGCAATGGTCTTTTTCTCCCTAGCAACCACCTTATGTACTTCACTCTTTTATTGTCTTTATGGTCTCTCTGTCCCCATTAGAGTGCGAACTCCACAGCAGCAAGGATTTCTCTGTTTTGTTCACTGTGCCAGTCGCAAAGTCCATAGCTCAGTATTTGCTGAGTATTGAAATGGTCTTGTCACTCCTCAGCTTAAAACCCTTAAGTGGTGACCCACTGCCTACACAATAAGGTCACGGTTCCTCACTCGGGTGTAGAAGGCTTTTACCCATTTTCTCTTCCTCCGAGTCCTCAACCCTGGGCTCCACTAACACGAAAGTGTGTATCTTAAAACTCCCAGACCACTCACTGCCCCGGTGCTCTTTCTCTTGCTTCCCCTCTGCCGAGAAGGGCTTCTCGCCATCCTGGCAAAATAGTATCCAACTTTCTAAAATTGGTTCCTCACAGCTGACCTGTGCCACCCCCCTACCCTGCCTTCCCTTTCCTTGTAAGAATTTACCACTTCCGTGTTGGTGTCCCTTCCATGTTCTGTGCGCACATCTGTCACAGTCCCTGTCAGAGAACCTAACACAGCATCAAAGCACAAATACCTGCTGACGCATGGCATCTGCGTGTCTCTTTTCCTCTTACTCTAAACCGATTTTCTGGGAGGCATAGTTCTGTGGGCTTCTGGAGGGCAGGGTGCTAGAAGTGGGGTGATTTGAAAGGCGAGCAGTGCTGGTAGATAAATAGTTCTTGCCCTGCCTGGAATGGCTCAGTGGATTGAATGCCGGCCTGCGAACCAAAGGGTTGCTGGTTCCCTTTCTGGTGAGGGCACGTGCCTGGGTTGCGGGCCAGGGCCCCAGTAGGGGGGTGGAAGAGGCAAGTACACATTGATGTTTCTCTCCCTCTTTCTCCCTCCCTTCCACCTCTCTAAAAATAAATAAATAAACTCTTTAAAAAGAAAAGAAATAGTCCTCAAGAGGCTTACTCTAATGGAAGAGGAGTCGCAGACAATGTCACAGTAATGTCAGTGTTGCTAGTTATTGAGTACCGACTGAAAAGCCTTAAGTAAACACTCACTGCCTATGCGATAAGGTCATAATTGCTTAGTTTGGTGTTAAGTTTTCTCATCCTCCAAATCCTCAACCCTGGGCTGCACTAACACTGGTTTGTGTACTCTAGATTACCAGACCATGCACAGCTCCAGTGCTACAGACTGTGCTTCCCAGAGCAGAATCTCATTTCATTCTCATGAGCTCTATGTGGTATGATTATTCCCATTTTAAAAATGTAGCCCTGGCTGGTGTAGCTCAGTGAATTGAGCGCAGGCCTGTGAACCAGAGGATCGCGGTTCCATTCCCAGTCAGGGCACATGCCTCGGTTGCAAGCCAGTTCCCTGCAGGCCAGTTCCCGGCAGGGGACACACTAGAGGCAACCATACATTCATGTTTCTCTCCCTCTTTCCTTCCCCTCTACAGATAAATTAATAAATAAATAAAAATTACTTCTTTAAAAGAAAAAAAAAAAAGATGAGGTAACTGAAGCCCAGAGAGGAGAATTCATTCGCCCAAACCAGCTAGTAAATAGCAGAGCTATTAGGTCTGTCACTGTACTGCCACCTCCATGTAATGGCATTGGGGACCAATGGCTACACTGTCCTTACTGAAGAAAGGCAGGGAAGTTTGGGCTCTGATCAGTCTTTTCGGCAGCAGCCCTATGGGTAGCCGGACCTCCCCCCACAGTTCTGGGCTCCTAGCTGCTGTACCTGACCCAGGACAACTCTGTACCAGGCTTCAGGTCTCAGCCTGCAGGGCGCGTCTCCTTACCTGCACTGATTTCCTCAGCCCTGGCTTGCTGTTGCTCCATCACCTGCTTCCCCAGGCTGTGCCTGAACTCCTGCTGCATTCTCCGGCACGTGGTCCTGTCCAGGTCCTCCCTAGAGAGGCACTGCATGCTGGCTGGGCCACATTGGGGCTTACTGTCACCACAACAGGCCGAATACCCCTTCCATGGTTGGTCGGGATCCCAAAGGCCAAATTCATGCATCTTCGTGAGCTGCTGCTCCTGTTCTGGAAACTCCTGGACTTTTGGGGGCAGCCAATATTTTCGTGTTTCCTCTGTCTTCTCTAGCATCCGGGCTACCAGGTCAAAGTGAAAGTGCACCTAGTTGGCACCTGGGAGTGGTGGGCAGGAACTTGGAGAAGGCCCCATGGGACAGACAGAGCCCACTCAGTTGAGCCTCTGCTCGTAAGGCCCTTCTGGTTTGTTCCACCACACACCAGGCCTCAGGCCCCGCTCTGAGGCAGAACGGCCCTACCTCAGTCCACCCGGTTCTGTGCATTACCCTCCCTGGCAGGCCTCTGGCCTTGGGCTTTTACCGTAAGCTGCCTCCTGGCTCCGCTCTGTTTCCTCCCGAAGCTTCTGCTCTTGCACCTGGCTGTTCAGCGCTCTAACATCCACCTGATCCCAAAGAAATGTGCTAAATCATGGTAGAGGCCCAGCAGCAGACCTTAAACTGCTCAGAAATCCTGCTTCGAAATCCTCCTATAGAGCCCCAGTGTCTACTGCATGATGTTCCACCATCAGCATGATCTGTCAGCCCCTCAGTGGTCCAGCTTCTGCCTCATATTCCAACCTCATCTCAGTACCCCCTTCCCTTCTCCCACCCTCAGGGGCTCTGTGCTTACAGTTTCCTGCATGTCTTATGCTGTTTCGCACAGTTTTTGCTCTAGCCATTCCTTCCACTTGGAACACTCCTCCTCCCGTCTTTACTGAAAGTCCTATTCATCTGTCAAGCTCAGGCTTCACTTTTCTGAGGCCTCTGACAGGTGCCACTCCCACAGGCCCGGGGACCCACCGTCCACATTATATTGAAGTTTGCCTTTGCTGATGATCTCCTCTGTCAGACTGTGAGCCCAGTAAGGGCCAAGATGGGGCCTTAACTTTGCATCCCTGCTGTACATCCCAGTGCTTGACACGGAGCCGGCCCTAGGAAACACCTGCCAACTGGATCTCAGTCATGCCACTCATCCCGCAGCCAACTGCTTACATGTATCAGGCACCATGCTCTGGTTTCCACAGCTGCCACCACAAGTGAATCCCTCAATGTTTCCTTTAGCCTCATTTAACCGAGGAGGAGCTTGGAGCTCTCAGAAAAGACATGTGACTCATCCAAAGCCACCCATGTAGTGAACAGCAGGCATGGCCCTGGAGCACAATCTGGGGTCTTTCCCGGAATCCCAGACTGCATCCTCCCTTTAGCCACCCCACCCGGCAGTCCATGTTTTTCTTAAACTATCCATATTTTCTATTTTGATTATAATTCATTCATCTAAAACGTTTCAAAATCAGGCAAAAGGGAATACAGTTTAGTGAAGAATCAGCGTCCCTCCCATCTCTGTCCTTCAGCCTGGTTAACGGATTCTTCTCTAGCCTTCCAGAGAGTTTAGGCATATGCCGTACCAAACATCCTTTACATTTCTTTTGGCCCCAAACTGACTGGAGCAGGTCAGCTGTCACCAGCCCCTCTTCCCCCAGTCTCTTCCTCGGCAGTCCCAATCTCCTTCCCAGGCCCTTCCCACACCTGGGGGTGGGTGCCTCCCCCCATTCCTTTCCAGCCCCACGGCATGCTCAAATCAGAAAGGGGCTCTAACAGGCACTGCTATGCTCCTCTTCCGGTGCAAAAGTGACGTGGTTCTGGGTCCCAAGAAAGTCCTCGCTCCTCACTCACCCCTATGACTCGGGTCCGAACATCAAAGAATCGGTTTTGTCGCTCTTTTTCTCGATTTCTTCTAGCCTCAATGGCTGCCACCTCCTTGGGATCTGGTGCCAGGTTTAGGTTAAACATCTGGAGAATGGGTGAGGTGGGATGGGCCATCAGTGCCATACCCGGCTCCCATTCCTTTCGGCCCACAGTCTCTCACTAGTTAATTGATTCCCAATGATTTTACTTCCTGTTACACCTCATGTTAGTGTCTTCCATCTCTGCTGTCACTGCCCTAATTCAGGCCTCACCATCTGGTGCCAGGCAGTATTTCCAGGAGCTTCACCGGCCTCCCTTGCTCCAATGTTACCCTATTTCTTTCTCTGCACTGGCTACCAGAGAGAGCCTTCTAAAAGTGAATCTCACCATGCCCTCCCCCGCCAGCTTAAAACCTTTAACAAACAGCTTTAAAGCAAATGGCTTCCCAGTGTCTACAAGATAAAGTCTAACCTCCATCTGCTAATTTATAAGGATGTCTCCATGATCTGATCCCTGCTTGCCTTTCCAAGCCTCAAACTCATGCGTGACACTCCCCCTTTCACATTATGCTTTATTAGCTTTTCCTCACTTTAGGAAACGGCACCACTATTCCTTATTTACTTTCATTATTCTGTAGTCAAATGAAAGGCTAGAGGGCTTAATCGTGTCTGTGTTCATTCATATTTTGGGGAGCCCACTTTTGGCATGGGGAGCCATCCAAAGCCACAGCCAAAAACACTTGTGCAAACATAAATCTTATGTCTCTCACCTGCTTAAAGCCCTCCACTACCTTCCCATCGCACTTAGAACCAGATCCAGACTCCCGATGGTGCGCTTTCAAGAGCCGGTTCCTGCACCCCTCTCCAGCTCATCTCGTGCCGCTCCCTTGCCACCAGTGCTCCGGGCACACTGGTATCAAGTCCTCCATAAAACAACTGCTCCTACCGCAGGGCCTTCTCCTGGTTGCAACGCCATTCCCCAGCTCCCCCTACAGCTAGTTCTCACCTGTTCCAAAAAACCATTTTGTAACTGTAAAATATTAGATACATAAAAGAATATATATGTATATATATTTGTGTTGCTATATGTATATACATCCCTGTATGTGTGTATATATATATGTATATACACATATACATATATGTATATGTGTATATATGTATATATATGTATATGCATATATGTACAAGAGTGTATATATTACTTACATAGAGGCGTGTCCCCATATATACTCCTGTATAGATACACACACATACCTGTATTTAAGTTAGGAAGCATGATAGAGACCCATGTACCAACTGTCCAACTTAGTAGAACACGAACAATACTATTAAGCATCTTGCAATTCTTCTCCCTCATCATTACCCTGAGAGATAACCATTTTCCAAGATGTTACAATTCCCTTACTAATATGCATTAATATACTACGTATACCATTCCCTGAATACTATCTTAAAATATTTTCTAGTCTTGGAATTTTATAAAATTGTCATGCAGTGCCCTGGCTGGTGTAGCTCAGTGGATTGAGCGCAGGCCTGGGAACCAAAGGATCGCGGTTCGATTCCCAGTCAGGGCACATGCCTGGGTTGCAGGCCAGTTCCCAGCAGGGGACACATGAGAGGCAACCATACACTGATATTTCTCTCCCTCTCTCCTTCCCTTCCCCTCTAAAGATAAAATTTTTTTAATCTAAAAAAATTATCATGCAGTATATATTGTTCTATACCTTGCTTTTCTCATTCACATTCATTCTGTCATTGCACAAATATCTGTGGAGTGCCTCCTGTCAGACACTCTTTTAAGCATTGGGAGACATCAAGGGATAAGTGATAAAAATCTGAGTTCTTGTGGAGGTTATTTTCTACTGCAGGTGGGCACACAATACGATAAATAGTACATTAAATAGTTTGTAAGATGATGATATAAGTACTATGGGAAAAATATAGAGAGGATAACGGGAAACGAAAGCGCCAAGGAAATAGGGGATGTCTCCATTTTAAATATGGAAGTCGGGGGAGGCATAACTAAGCAGGTAATAGCTGAGTGAATCCTTGAAGGTGAGGGAGTCATCTATGCAGGTATCTAGGAGGATGGCACTCCAGGCAGAGGAAACAGCAAGTGCAAAGGCTTTAAGATGGACACAAGAAACAAGGGAACAGCAGGAGGCAAGTGTGTGAGCGAAGGAGAGGTAGGAGGAAATGTCATTAGAAAGAGAATTTGCAGACCATTGTAAGGACCGTGGCTTTTACTCAGAGAGAAGTGGGCAGCCACTGGAGGATTTTGAGCACTAGGAGTGATGTGTTTTGCCTTTGACTTTTAAAGGACAATTCTGATTGCTGTGTTAAGAATAGACTTGGAGCCCTGGCTGGTGTAGCTCAGTGGATTGAGCGCGGGCCTGCGAACCAGACAATCGCGGTTTGAATCCCAGTCAGGGCACAGACAGGGGTTGCAGGCTGGTTCCCTGCAGGTCAGTTCCCAGCAGGGGACGCACAAAAGGCAACCATACATTGATGTTTCTCTCCCTCTCTCCTTCCCTTCCCCTCTAAAGATAAATAAATAAAATTAAAAAAAAAAAGAATAGACTTGGGGTAAGGGAGGCCAGGCTAGAAGCCAGGAGACCAGTCAGAAAGATATATGCAGTTGTCAGGGCAAGAGATGATGGTGACTCACACCAGGTTGGTAATAGCAGCGGTGGTAAGTGGTCAGGTTCTGGATATATTTTGACGGCAGAGCTGACAAGACTTTCTGGTGGACTGAATGCGCAGTGTGAGGGCAGTGAAAAGAATAACTTTAAGGTTTGGGCCTATAGAAGGATTATACATGCTATCTCACTGCCCTCAAGGTTAGCCACGCGACTTGCCTTGCCCTCTCCAGTGTGAGAATTGACATGTGTCATTGCCAAGCAGAACTAAGAGCCGTTAGGTGATAACTACTTTTTCTCTTCACTTGCTGCTCTAAAACTGGCAGTGTTCCAGGTAAGGGCCACTCCTTTGGCCTGGATCACTGGGATGACGATGTCTTGCAGAGATGCAGCCAACCCACAGTGGACAAGAAGCAGAAGAAATAAACGTGTTTTTATAAGCTGCTGAGATTTGGGGGTTGTTTGTAACCTCAGCATAACTTAGCCTATCCCAACCGATACAAAGGAATTTAAAGCTATACGGCTGTAAGGCTGTAAGAGACCTCCTCTAAGGGAGTGAGAGTAGATGGTTAAGAATGTCCCAGGGGAGACAGGGAGAGGAAGACCAGCACTGTAAGCTAAGGAGGAATGGCCAGTGAGGTGGGAGAAAAACCAGGAGTGTGGTGTCAAAGAAGCCAAGTGAAGAGAGTGATTTTGAGGGGAAAGAGTGGGCAACTGATGATAGGTTAAGAGGAGGATTAAGGACTGATCAATTTAGTAACGTGAGCATTGCTGATGACCGTGACAAGAACAGTTTTGGTAGTACTGCAGGTAGAGTTGTCTGATTGAAGTGGGTTCAAGAGAGACCAGGACTCTGTGGTACAAACAACATAGTTTATTTTTTTGATTGCAAGAGAAAAAGAGGGAGGAGTAACCTGTAGGTTAAAAGAGACCATATACACAGGTGGGAAGTTTCTTTAGCATATACCCAGGAGTGGAAGTGCTGAATCCTAGCGCTCAAAGAATGTTTAACTTTACAAGATAATGCTAACTTATTTCTCCAAGGAGATTGTACCAACTTACCCCTTTACTGCTGTGTAGAAAAACTCCAGGCACCCCACATCTTCACCAACACTTGGTACTGCAGACTTTTTAATTTTTGCCCATTTGTGAGTATAAAATTATAATTATCAATTTGAATTGGAATTTCCCTTATTGATAATGAGGTTGCACATCTTTTCATGTGTGTTTTGGCTATGTTTGTTTATTTTTCTCTGAAGTGCCCATCCATACCTTTTGTTCAACAACAACAAAAAATCAGATTGTTTGCCCTTTTCTTAATTTTAGGAATTACTTATGTATTCTACTCACAAATCATTTCTTAAGTTTACATGTGGCAAACCTCTTCAATTTGTGGCTGGTCTTTTCACTTGATTATTACTTGACAATAGCTTTTATTATTTAAGAAATCCCCTGAGATCATAAAGATATTCTCCCATATATTCTAAAATTTCTAAAGTCTTGACTTTCTCATTTAAGTTTTTAACACTTCTGGAATTGCATTTTGTTCGAGAGGTAGGACTCTGTATGATTTTTCCCCTGCAAGCTGCATTTTCTTACAGATTGCTGTCCTTTGGTCATTTTATCCCCTCAGCCTGATGGTGACTGTTTCTCCAAGTTGAACTTCATTTATGACTCCTCTGCTAGGTTCCGTCGACTAAGCCTTTTCACTTTCCTGGACTTTAAGGAAATCCTAAGACTTTAAGACTATTATGAGCCTCCAGACATCATTTAAAAAATAACTACAGGAATACAATGGCAACCACCAGGCCCTTTCCATGTCTAAGCCTAAGCACCAACTGCAGCCTGTTCATTCTGTCCATCACCACAATATAAGGTCACTGAAAGAGAAGATTCTGCAGGCATTTGAAGCTTCTTGAACTGCCAAGGCCATGGCCTTAGTAATGACAGGTATAAGGTAATAGGGGGATGAAGGGATTGGGAAGAGGTGTATAAAAGATGGGGGACGGAGAGGGGAAAGGGACAGGGAGGGTGTGGGGGCAGAGATGCAAAGAGGAAGGGGGGCAGGGCAGCAGGGGGGTTGACAGGGGTGGAAGACAGGGAGCAGAGAGAGAAGAGGGAGGGGGAGAGCAAGGGGATGGGGTAGCCCTAGGGGGGATGGAGAGGAGGGAATGGCATGGGGGTGAGGCATGAAGAAATAGGAATGGGGAGAAGGGAAGAAGAATAACGGTTTAAGGTGGAGAACATTGGCTTAGGGATCCTGACTCCCAAGGGTTCATACAAAATACCTTTTTCAGCAAGGAGTCCCAGGCTTGAAGCTCCTAGTTGGGATCTAGGTTAAAGTAGCCAACAGGTGGCTCAGGTCCACCACCGCTCTTGTGCTACAGCGTCAGCCTCTGAACTCTGCTTGGAGGAACAGGAGGGAGGCAGAGGATAGAGACAGAACCTCTGGCCATAGCTTTCCCCAGCCCCTATCACTGTGGCTCCAGAGTACCCTCATCTCTCTTCACACCTCATTCCCCCTTCACACCCATTCCACCTTCAACTTCACCCCACTCCGCCTCCACCCACAGCAAGGTTTGAGCTCACCTAACTCCGAATCCCCGCTCTGGCTCCTCCTTCCCATACAGCGCTTCGCTCCCTACGGTGTATTCCCTGTCCTGTTCTTGCTTGAACCTTCTAACCCGCTAGGCTATAGATACATCCGATCTCCCACCTTCCTCCTGCCCAGGAGGGCATAATCTTGTTAATTCTGACTTCTCAGCGTGAGCTCCGATCAGGTCGGTTTCAGGGGATTTCCAAACCGTCTCAGTCCTCCGGGAACCACTACCTTTGCGACTCGCTCGGTAGAGGCGGCGGCCTGTGTTGCCAAGCAACAAGAAAGGGGGGCGGGACCTAACGGCTGTCGTAAGCTCGCGTCCTGGCAACGGATCAACAAATTTGCACGCCAGCCGGAAGACCCTCCTCCTGGGGCCCTCCTGCGCCGGAAGCCGGAAATCTCGTTTGGCCTGAATTATCTCGCGAGATTTGTTATCAGCCCGGCCTGCACTGCGTTGTTTCCCGCGCAGGCTACTCCAGTTGCAGTCTTACGGCGCGGCCATTCGTGCAGCAGCTTGCGCCGCCGCCGTAATGGGCTTCCTGAAACTGATTGAGATTGAGAACTTTAAGTCGTATAAGGGTCGACAGATAATCGGACCATTTCAGAGGTTCACCGCCATCATTGGACCCAATGGCTCTGGTGAGATAAACCCCGCTGCCGTACTGGGGACGTTCCGCCCTGGTCCCCTATCCTGCAGCATAGTACAACCCAGCCCCTGGCACCTGAAATGTCATGAACCCTAACCGGTTCCTGCCTCTCTAAATTTAGGGGGTTCGGTCGAAATCCACTTTCCCCTCTCGGGTGCTCCGACTTGAACCTTTCCTAGATGTCAGTTGCCCGCTCTTTGCGCCGCCCCCAGTCTTGCCTGAGTGGTACGCTCCGGGGCTGTACGTCTCTTCTCCCTCTGCCCCCTCGCGCCAAAAGTGGCGGTCCATAGTCCGCTGCCAGTTGGATTCCCCGCTTTGTATGAACCCCCCGGACATGTGGGGCCGCTTGTAGCCCTCCCATGGCCTCCAGTCCCAAACGGTACACTTAACCCGTCCCGTCTCACATTGGTACGCTCCACTTTTTTTTCTTTTTTCTTACTCTCCTTTAGAGGCGGGCAATTTTGAATATGATACCGAGCGCTCCGGTCTCCAGGGTGCTGTGGTTTCGACCCTCCATCCCCCGAACCTCCATCTCAGAGTTGGAGTTGCCTCGAACTCGCCCCTGTGCTAGCACTGAAACTGTTAAAAATCAGAACTGACTCTCGCCAAATTTATCGAATGCTTACTGTCTCATAAGGAGTTTCTCCAGGTGCTGTGGAAACGGCGGAGAATAGAATAAGCAATGCACCCAGGGAGCTTACAATCCAGAGGGGAAAGACGATAGTAAAGGAGAAAATAAGATAATTTTCGGCTGTGATAAGTGCTGTGCAGTAAATGAGACAGGTTGATGTGATGGAGTGACTTGGATGGTGTCAGTAGTGAACAATAGAAAGAGTAGTCGGTAGTTAACAATACTGTATTGTGTATTTAAAAGTTGCGGAGAGTAGATCTTAAAAGGTATCACAAGAAAGAAAATTGTAATTTTGTGAGGTGATGGATGTTAACTAAACTTATGGTTATTATTTTGCAATATATGCAAATATGGGATCATTATACTGTACACCAGAAACTAAGATAATGTTGTGTCAGTTATTTAAATAACAATGGGGAAAACAAAGAAAGGGTGGTCATGGGTCTGGCCTGTGTGTTATATCTTAACTTCCTATCTCTAAATGATACACCATCTGTTCCTCCCATCTAACCCCCTGGAGGGTTTGTTTGGAATCCTACTGTGTTCCTCCACCCTATAGTTGTCTTAGCTAAATCGTTTCCTAGCCTAAGGTGGCTGCCTTTGCTGAAGTAGCTTTAACTGAGGGCCTTGCTTGGAGTCTTGACTATGTTTGGCTCTCAGTGGAGAGCCGGCTTTCTCCAGAGTGGCACTACTGACGTTTTCAACGAGGTAATTCTTTGCTGTGGGGTGGGTCCTGTGCATTGTAGGATGTTTAGTGACATTCTTGGTTTCTATCCACTAGATGACAGTAGCACCCCCCACCCCTTAGGTGTGCCAGCCAAAAATGTCTCTAGATATTGCTAAATGTCCCCTGGGTGGGGTTGCAAAATCATTCCCCCTCCCAACCTCTTGAGAATCACCGGCCTAGCGGGCTAATGCTTGGGGCTTCACTCCAGTTTCTTAGGATTTTTGTGTGGTGGGAGGAGGCAGGGTGTACCTCTTGGCATTTGGTCCCCTCAACATGGATAGATTTGTATACCGACCTGTTCCCAAAAGTCCTTTGGTCTTACTGCTCCACTTACACTCATTCTTCAGTGCCCACCTCCACATGGCATTCCTTGATTTGCCTCAGTGCATTGCTCTTCTCTGGCACACAGTAGACACTTGGTACATATTAATGTTTATTTTTCTCCTGTTTTGTATTCATGCTATATGTTTTTATATTCTCGTCACTGGTCTATGAGTGTTCAGCTCATAATACATATTTTTTAAACATGTTATTTAGAGAGAGAGGGGAAGGGAGGGAGAAATAGAGGGAAACCAGTGTGTGGTTCCCTCTTGCGCGCCCCCTACTGGGCATGTACCCTGACTGGGAATCAAACCAGTAGTAACCTTTGGTTCACAGGTTGTCACTTAACTATTGAGCCACACCAGCCAGGGCTCATAATACATATTATTATAAAAATGTTTATAATATTGAATGGTTGCGAGTAGGAGGGCCTTTGGTTGCGAGATGTTATTCCTGTCCCTGGAGAGCCTGGGAGAAGCCTGGAGGTTGGAAATGGGTGTCTAAAGAGCTGACTCTTGGTCTGCATGTTGTGCTAGTCCTGTTGTGATGAGGGAGACATCGCTGAGTCCGCACCTGTTGTTAGAATAGGACTGCCATTTACTGAGCAACTATTGTGTGTTGAGTAGTTTATTTATTGGGACCTTTTACATTGAAATTCTCTCAAATGCCCCTAGGAAGGAGATCCCGTTATCTATGTTTTATATACAGAGACTGAGGCACAAAGAGGTGTGATCACTTACACCTGATTCTCAGAGGCAGGGTCAGAACCCATGCCTGTCAAAGCCTGTACTCCTGCCACTCCAGCAGAGAACTGTGTCAATATTATTTCAGATAATCCCATGCCTGTTGTCTCATAGAACATCCCACATTCTGTTTGTCTTAAGGTTTCCTCATGATGTCATTTACCATGTTCCTTGAACCAGAAGGGAGGTCTAAAGACTTGTTTAAGTTAAGGCTAAGTATTTTGGGCAAGATACTTCATAGATGCTGCTCTGTCCTTCATATTGTATTACAACAGAAATGTGCCTTTTTTTTTTTTTTTTAAGATTTTTAGCCCTGGCTGGTGTAGCTCAGTGGATTGAGCATGGGCTGCAAACCAAAAGGTTGCGGGCCAGGTTCCCAGTGGGGGGCACATGAGAGGCAACCACACATTGATGTTTCTCCAACTCTTTTTCTCCTCCCCTTTCCCTCTCTTTAAAAATAAATAAATAAATAGAATCTTAAAAAAAAAGACTTTAAATTTATTTTTAGAGAGGGGGAGGAGAGGAAGAGAGGGAGAGAAACACCAATATGTGGTTGCCTCTCGTGCGCCCCCTACTGGGGACCTGGCCCACAACACAGGCATGTGCCCTGACTGGAGAGCGAACCAGTGACCCTTTAGTTCACAGACCTGCTGTGCTCAGTCCACTGAGCCACACCAGCCAGGGCAGGAATATGCCTTTTTTTAATAAGCTGTGGTAAAATACATGAGATAAAATGTACTGTTGTCACCACTTTTCAGTGTGCAGTAGTGTTAAGTGTATTCACATTACTGTGCAGCCAGTTGCCTGAACTTTTTCATCTCACAAAACTGAAACACTATACCACCCATTAAACAAGTTTCCTCAGCCACCCCCCCCCTTTTTTTTAACTTGATCGAGATCAAACTGTACTGGATTTTGCGTCTTGCTTCTATTTCCTACTGTGGGCATTTCCTCGTGTCATTAAAGGTTGCAGAACAATCTAGTCTGTAAATGTACTTTTTCCTTAGATAGGGTTCTAGTTTTGGGCTGCTAAAGTAATAATTGCAGAGGGATCACTTTTCTAAGTTTTTGACCCAGGGCTTTGCTTGGGCCCAGTCTTTATGGGGGCAGAGCAGTATTTTCTCCTCCCATGAGTCTGAGAACTAAGTGCGTAGGGGACATTCCTGCCTGCCTGATGTCTCCTTTATTCCTTTTCTCCTTCCTAACTTCTCCTTTTCTTTGTTTCTTCCTTCTTTAGGTAAGTCAAATCTCATGGACGCCATCAGTTTCGTGTTGGGTGAAAAAACCAGCAACCTGCGAGTAAAGACCCTGAGGGATCTGATCCACGGAGCTCCTGTGGGCAAGCCAGCTGCCAACCGGGCCTTCGTCAGCATGGTCTACTCTGAGGAGGGTGCCGAGGACCGCACCTTTGCCCGTGTTATTGTTGGTGGGTGAGGCTAGCTGGAAGGCTCTCCTTGGGTCCTGGGAGGTGATTAGACTAGTTGGCCGAGATGGAAGGGAGACCTGAGTCTTGGCCAACACATGCGTTGTCTTGTAGGGGGTTCCTCTGAGTACAAGATCAACAACAAAGTGGTCCAGCTACATGAGTACAGTGAGGAATTAGAGAAGTTGGGCATTCTCATCAAAGCTCGTAACTTCCTCGTCTTCCAGGTGGGCATTTTTAACAATTATTGGTTCCCTGCTCTTTGCTCACCCTTGGGCTTGCTTCGTCTCTGACTTCATTTCTGCCCTGAACTAATGTAGTAGTGTCCTCACTGGCTTCCTAACTTCAGTCTGGCCCTTCTAGTCTCCAGATCAGCATCAACTGGGGACACGATGCACATTCTCAGGCTCCATCCTAGACCTGCAGACTCAGAGACTATGGGGTAAAGCCCTGCGATGTGTATTTTGCCAGCTTCCCTGGGTTGTGGTTATACACACTAATGTTTGACAGCCACTGCCCTAGCATGAAATCAAGACTCCTGTCATTCAGGAAACACCATCCTTTGGTTCCTGCCTACTGCACTAGCCTCATCTGCCAATACTCTTGCCCACCAACCCTGCATTCCAGCCTAATTAAACCATTTACAGTTCCCCAAATTCACCTTCTTTCTTTGGCCTGCAGGCCTGTGCACGTTAATTTTTTTTCTGCATGGAAAGGACCTTGTCTCTCTTACTTTCTTGGTTAGAGCTTCCCCATCTTCCAAATTCAGTTTAGATGTCACCTTCGGGAAGCCTTTCCATGTAAACATTTCTACCACACTGCTACCTCTAAGCATCATTTAGTCCTTTTCTGTGCGACTTCTTGTCACTGCATATAACACATGGTGTTGGCTTTGCTTCTGCCCCTTCTACTTGCCATGCACCTCAAAGGCCGGGAACGTGTCCTCAGAGCCCAACGTGAAACGTAGCGCCCAGTTGGTGGGAGTAGGTAGGAGGAACTCGGCTGGCAGGGCTCTAAGTGGGGAGAGTGTTTTGACCTTCACTAGGGTGCCGTGGAATCTATTGCCATGAAGAACCCCAAAGAAAGGACAGCTCTGTTTGAAGAGATCAGTCGCTCTGGAGAGCTGGCCCAGGAATATGATAAGCGAAAGAAGGAAATGGTGAAAGCTGAAGAGGACACACAATTTAATTACCACCGTAAGAAAAATATTGCGGCTGAACGCAAGGAGGCCAAACAAGAGAAAGAAGAGGTAGGTGGCCAGGCTACCTCTGGGCCCTAAGAGGCCAGGATGGGGAGGCAGAGCCTTACTGATGCACTCCCTGCCTCCATACCCCTATTTAAATAGGCTGACCGCTACCAGCGCCTGAAGGATGAGGTGGTCCGAGCTCAGGTACAGCTGCAGCTCTTTAAGCTTTATCACAATGAAGTGGAAATCGAGAAGCTCAATAAGGAACTGGCCTCTAAGAACAAGGAGATAGAAAAGGACAAGAAGCGTATGGACAAGGTAGAGGATGAGCTGAAGGAGAAGAAGAAGGAGCTGGGCAAAATGATGCGGGAGCAGCAGCAGATTGAGAAGGAGATCAAGTAAGAGGAAGGCCCGGGCCTGCAATTTGGGGGAAACCAAGAGGTTATGCTGTTTCCTAGGGCTTCTCTAAGCCTGGAGTCCAGCACCCGTACTAGTTTCTCTATTTTCCCCTTGACTTGCATTTCAGACAAATAGAGTATCTAAGTACTCAGACTCTGGGTAGATACATACTCGGAAGAGGGAGAACTTGAAAGGGGCAGCGACTTGACAAACAGGAGGGAGCAGTGAGAATCCCAGGCACTGGAGTGGTTGGGAATGCCTTCCTAGAAGAGGAAAACTGGAGCTGGAAGTTTAAGGGACAGGGATTTTAAAAGGTTAGGTTAGATGGGAGACAGTTAAGTGAACACAGGGTATTCTTGGAGTTGTTACTGAGGGTTCTGGCCCAGCTGATTGAGGCCAAGGTGGTAGCTTCAGCGTACAGAGTGCCCGGAAGGCCGGGCTAAAGGTTCCGGGTAGTAGTTAGCTTGCCCCCTTGAGGATCTGTGGGGCATCAGGGCCTTATTCTTTCAGGCAATTCCGTGAGTCTGGCGGTGGTGGGGCTCGGGCCCCCTTTTCTTTGGGTTAAAAAGCCTAAGAACGCTCCTTTATCCAACAGTGCTAACTGGTTTCCCCCTTTCCTCTGGCAAAAGAGAAAAGGATTCAGAATTGAACCAGAAGCGACCTCAGTACATCAAAGCCAAGGAGAATACTTCCCACAAAATCAAGAAGCTGGAAGCAGCCAAGAAATCTCTACAGAATGCTCAGAAGCATTATAAGAAACGGAAAGGTGACATGGATGAACTGGAAAAGGAGATGCTCTCGGTGGAGAAAGCCCGGCAGGAGTTTGAGGAACGGATGGAAGAGGAGAGTCAGAGTCAGGGCAGAGACTTGACCTTGGAGGAGAATCAAGTAAGTTCTAGGAGGGTTGTGGGCGTGGACGGAGATTGCCAGGTTGACAAGGGCTGACCGGTCACCCGTGTCCTCCTTCCCTGTCTTTAACACAGGTGAAGAAATACCACCGGTTGAAAGAAGAAGCTAGCAAGAGAGCAGCCACCCTGGCCCAGGAGCTGGAGAAGTTCAATCGAGACCAGAAAGCTGACCAGGACCGGCTGGATCTGGAAGAGCGGAAGAAAGTAGAGACAGAGGTGGGCGTTCGTTATAGGATTGGGAGTGATGGTCCAGAGAAAAGGCAGTAATGATGGTCTTTTTTTTTTTTTTTTTTTTAATTGTTGTTCAAGTATAGTTGTCGAGGAAGTAATGACAGTCTTAACTGTAATGACAGTAGCCAACATGAGCAGGCACTTACTGTGTGGTGGGCACTGTACTTAACATGTATCCACTCATTTACTTTCTCCTTTTCCAAATGAGGAAACTACCCTAAGGTCACCTCATTATCCAGTAGCAGAACCAGGATGTGAACCTGTGCAGTGTAGCTCTAGAGCCCACACTCTTTTTTTTTTTTTTTTTTCCCCCCTTAAGGTTTTTATTTATTTGTTTTTAGAGATCGGGGAAGGGAGGGAGGGAGAGAAACTTCAGTGTGTGGTTGCCTTGCACGTGCCCTCCACCGGGGACCTGGCCCACAACCCAGGCATGTGCCCTGACCAGGAATCAAACCCTTGACCCTTTGGTTCACAGGCCAGCACCCAATCCAGTGAGCCACACAGCCAGGGCTAAAGCCCGCACTCTTACCAAGTGTACTTCACTCACTGCCTTCCTACTAACAATTGTAGTAAAACCGTAACAGTAATAGAAAATTGTTATACTACCCCAGGAGCTTACAGTGTTCCAGGTTTCTGCTAAGCACTTCTTTTGGTGGTAAGCATTAATATTAATAGCTACCCGTTATTAAACACTTCATATGTATTTCCGAAGTATAGGATACCTACATTTCATAGATGAAGGGCCCAGAAAGCTTTGCTTGGCCTTGGTTTGAGCCTCCCTGAGTGATGAGGAAGATAGGCCACACCGTGAGGGGGTCTCCTTGGGCCCAGGGAGGCCCCACCAGTCAGTAGAGCCGCACCCAGCACTTGTCTGTGTGTCTGCTTTTTAGTAGGCCTCCTGCAATAGAGACAGATTGTTCTGGACTGTTGAGCTCTTGCATAAGCAAGCACATAGGGGATAAGTAAGCCTGGGCCCATGGTCTTGGAGTTCACTTGTGCTCAGCCCCTGGTGACGGACTATATTGGTTTCTCTCCCAGGCCAAGATCAAGCAAAAGCTGCGGGAGATTGAAGAGAATCAGAAGCGGATTGAGAAACTGGAGGAGTACATCACGACTAGCAAGTATGTGTCTCCGCAGCCTTCCCTCTTCCCGCCAGCCCTGTTCTTGTGAACCTGCCTATCCTGACCCTCCCTAGGCAGCACCCCCCAGAAGCCCCCTCAGCCCAGAGCACTTTCTGAGCAGCCAGAGCGACCCCCGTGTATCCTTACCTTGTAGGCAGTCTCTAGAGGAGCAGAAGAAGCTAGAGGGGGAGCTGACAGAGGAGGTGGAGATGGCCAAGCGGCGTATTGACGAGATCAATAAGGAGCTGAACCAGGTGATGGAGCAGCTGGGGGATGCCCGCATTGACCGCCAGGAGAGCAGCCGCCAGCAGCGCAAGGCAGAGATTATGGAAAGCATCAAACGCCTGTATCCTGGCTCTGTGGTAAGAGTGCAGAGAGAACTCATTTTCCGAGCACTTATTTTCACACGGACGGAGGTCATTTCCCCAGCAGCCCTGTGAGGACAGGATTGCCAATTCTCTTTTTACGGCTAGGGAAACCGAGACTCAGAGAAGTTAAGTGACTTGCCCAAAAGGGCACAGCTTATGAGTGGAAGAACTGCATTTCACACCCAAGTTCTTCTGACTGTTAGCCTCACATTCTGTTTATCACACCAGCTACATCTTCCTGAAGGTTTTCTCTTGCTTTGGCCACTCTTCCTGTTGGAGGCGGGGGAACTAGAGGGGCCCTTGGTAGGGGGAGGGGTATGGGGCAGAAGTTAGTCTCTTGGGAAGTAGCTCTGTGCAGGCTTCAATCTGAGCTCCCTGGGCATGTACCAGCTGGATCGCTCATCAGGCTTTTATCAGGTTTCTTGGCCTCTTGGACCAAATCCTGAGTTCCTGAGTTTCCTGAGTATTATCCCTCTGTTGCTGTAATCCCGAGCCTGGATTCAGTTTAGTTAGGTTCCATTCCTGATCCCTCCTCTAGACACTGCTGGGGTCCATATGGGTGAATTAGGCTCAGTGCCTTGAAGATATTTCCCTTTATCTGATAGTTCTTAGGGAACCGTGGTTTGTTTGGTGGGAGAGGGAACGGGGGAAATAAACTAGGAAAAGAGATTTCTTTTGCTGGGTGCTTGTGAAAATTTGCTTAAGGTATATAGGGTATCTGGCATGGTGTCGGCTGGTAGTGGTCTGTGGAATGGTAAAACCGAGGATTAGAAAGACAACTTTGGATTCAGACATGACTCCCTTAAAGTCATTGCTGCTTTGGAGCCAGGGGAGGCTTTTTCTTCATAGAGAGGGGGGCTTATGTTCCTGCCGTGGATTCCGGTCTGCCCAAGCTGGGAATTGGAGTTTCTGAGCCAGCTCCCCAAAGCCTCGTGCTTCAGTTTTCTCTTCTGACATCTGCAGTACGGCCGCCTCATTGATCTCTGCCAGCCCACACAAAAGAAGTATCAGATTGCTGTAACCAAGGTTTTGGGCAAGAACATGGATGCCATCATCGTGGACTCAGAGAAGACAGGCCGAGACTGTATACAGTATATCAAGGAGCAACGTGGGGAGCCTGAGACCTTCTTGCCTCTTGACTACCTGGAGGTGAGGCCGGTGGTGATGGGATCAAGACGGTCTGCGAGGGACCCTCCTCCTCGTAGCCCTCCATGTTCTGCCACCTACTGAGCTGCTGCTTTCCTACAGGTGAAACCTACAGATGAGAAACTGCGGGAGCTGAAAGGGGCCAAGCTGGTGATTGATGTGATTCGCTATGAGCCACCTCATATCAAAAAGGCCCTGCAGTATGCTTGTGGCAATGCCCTCGTCTGTGACAACGTGGAGGATGCTCGTCGCATTGCCTTTGGAGGCCACCAGCGCCACAAGGTATGGATTCTGGACAGATTGGAGCCAGACAGGCTTAGCATTGGAGAGTCCTCTCTTCAGCTTCTCCTTCTCTCTTCTCCCTTCTGTGTGTAGACAGTGGCACTAGATGGGACCCTGTTCCAGAAGTCAGGAGTGATCTCTGGCGGGGCCAGTGACCTGAAGGCCAAGGCACGGCGCTGGGATGAGAAAGCGGTAGACAAGTTAAAAGAGAAGAAAGAGCGGTTGACAGAGGAGCTGAAAGTAAGCCACAGGCAGTGCTGTCCCTAGGACTGGGGGTCCTAAGCTTAGGACAGCCACCTCCTTACCACCCTGCGCTTCTTTCTTGTCCATTTCAGGAGCAAATGAAGGCAAAGCGGAAAGAGGCAGAGCTACGTCAGGTGCAGTCTCAGGCCCACGGACTGCAGATGCGGCTCAAGTACTCACAGAGTGACCTCGAACAGACCAAGACACGACATCTGGCCCTGAATCTGCAGGTGGGGCCTGGCCTCAGCCTTGTTTTCTTTTTCTTTTTTTAAAGGTTTTATTTATTTACTTTTAGAGAAAGGAGAAGGGAGGGAGAAAGAGAGGGAGAGAAAAATCAATGTGTGGTTGCCTCCTGCGCCGCCCTCCTAGTGGGGACCTGGCCTGCAACCCAGGCATGTGCCCTGACTGGGAATCAAACTGGCGACCCTTTGGTTCGAAGGCTGGCATTCAATCCACTGAGCCGCAGCAGCCAGGGCAGCACTGTTTTCTAAAGGCCATCTTTCCATTCCTGGCCTAGGTTTCTCTGAGGGTAGGAACTTGTGGCACTTTCCTGTCTCCTCCTGGCTGTTCCAGGGAACTAAGCACAGCATAGAGTCACACAACCAGGGGTTTAAATCTTGGCTCTGTGTGACATTATGCAAGTTACTTAACCTTTCTCTTAGTTTTTTTTTTTTTTTTTTAAGTCATTTGTAAAGTGAGTTAGAATACTACCTGCTTTATAGAGTCATTGTGAAGATTAAATGAGTTAATACAGGTAAAGAGGTTAGACTGATTCCTTACATTCAGTAAATGTTAGGTGCTATTGTTAGCATAATTCATTCATTTAATAAATATTTGAGCTTTTGAAATTGAATTGCAAGTGAGCCGTAGGCATTTCAGTACCTGCGGGTGGGGGTATCCTCTTAGATATGTTAATGTGTTTGATCGTGAGGTACTTCCCCAGACCACCGTGAAGGTGGGGGGTGTGTGTGTGTGTGTGTGTGTGTGTGTGTGTGTGTGTAGTTTTGCCTTTTTCTAAAATCAAAAGGTCTGAATTTTAAAACATCTGACTGCAAGAGTTATGCATAAGGGAGCATGTTTACCTTGTGCTCAGCCTGGTGCTTTGAAGCTGGCTGGCTGGAGGCCGGGGAGGAAGCTGTGTGATAGTTTGAGAGCTAACGGAGCTTTGACTGATGCTAACTCACGTTCTCTCTGCATGCCATGCGGAGAGCTAGCCCTTTGAGTTCTGGGGACCAGCGTGCTTGGGATGCCTCTTTTTCTCCAAAGAACCTGGTCTCCTTTTACCTTCTCAACCCCTTTTCCTGCAGGAAAAGTCCAAGTTGGAGAGTGAGCTAGCCAACTTCGGGCCTCGCATCAACGATATCAAGAGGATCATCCAAAGCCGAGAGAGGGAGATGAAAGACCTGAAGGAGAAGATGAACCAGGTTGGTGGGGGACGAGCCACACAAGCGTGTGCGTCTGGTCAGGACTGAGGCTGGAAGCAGCACTCTGACCCAAAGGCCTTTTGCCTTCCTTTGCTTCTCTCAGGTAGAGGATGAGGTGTTTGAAGAATTTTGTCGGGAGATTGGTGTACGTAACATTCGGGAGTTTGAGGAGGAGAAGGTGAAGAGGCAGAATGAAATCGCCAAGAAGCGGTAAGTGGACGTGCAGAGAGTGCAGTGCCCTTGAGACCCCAGCCTGGTGTCCTGCAAAGTCAGGCGCCGTCATGAGGCCGGGAGCAGCTCTCAGAGAGATGGGCATGTCTTGCAGACCAGCCTTAGAGGACAGGGCCACCGGGGAGGTAGTGCAGCACAGTCCAGTGGTTAAGAGTGCCAGCTTCAAATGTGGTCTGCCTGGGTGAAAAATCCCAGCTCCACAACTCATGATGTTGGATGCTGACTTGATCTTTTTGAGCCTCAGTTTCTTTATCTATAAATGGGACAGTAGTGACACCTGTCTCATGGCATTGTTGAACGGATCAGATGAAATAATCCTTTTGAAGTTTTTCACATTTAGCACCTACTAAGAGCAGTAAGTACTAGCTTTTATTATCATTATCATCCTGATGGGTAATGCAGGGGAACAGGAATGAAGTTCTAGGTTGGAAAGATAGTAAGAACAAAACAACATTTCTCCTCTCTTCTCCACTTCAGTTTATTCATTTGTTCCATTAACCTTTCTTGAGTACCTCTGTTGTGTCAAGTTGTCCTGTGCCTGGTATTGGGGGGGGGGGTTGGGAGATGAGGATAAGATGGATGAACACAACGCAATCTCCCTGAAGGAGTTCATCTACTGGACCCTGGGCCTCAGTCGGCAGTTCACCCAGCCCATAACCCGTGCAGTAAATATTCATTGCTCTTCCACCCCCAAGCCAAGTTCAAGGGATATAGAACTGAATCAGAGACTGTCCCTGCCCTCAGGGAGTTGAGTTGTGGAGTAGTAGGGGAGACAGGTAGATCAGCAATTTCAGAACACCGTGATCGATGCTGGGCCTTAGGTAGATACAAAATACAGAGGAAACGGTCAAGGAACTGCAAATCAACCAGAGGAAAAAGCAAAATGGAAGATTCAATAGAAAACTGGACAGAGGACGTAGTTAGCATTTCATGGAAAGAGAAGCTTGAATGCCTAGTCACAAATAGATGTTCAATCGCATTCCTAATCAGAGAAATGCAAAGCAAAACAATTTAGTGGTATTTGGTGAAAATAAGTCTATGTAAACCCTATGACTTAGCAAAGCTACTGTTGGGTATACTGGTATATTCCAAAGAGAGTGTTGTTACAGGCTCACAAAGGGCCACACTCAAGGGTGTTCATCTTGTCATAATTTGTGGTGGTAGGATATTGGTGGCAATGTAGACAGCCATCACTGGGGGGAGGTCTAAGTTAAATGCGATGAATGTACAGACTGTTGACACCGTACAGCAGTTTAAAGCAAGAACTAGACTCACAGGCAGTCCCCTGGATATATTTATAACACTGTGCATTGGTGTAAATTTAAAAACAAAATGACATTTTACAAGGATCTGCATATTTAAGGCTATATACATATGTATGCAACTATGTGTGTGTGTGTATGTATGTCACTTTGAAGTACACGCTCGCTGTAAGGAAGATAATGGCAGTGAAAATCAAGGATTGAGTAGACAGTGGAAGGATCTTGCACAGGCGGCAGTCGTAAGTGTATTAGGAACTGCGGAATGTTGTTAAATCAACTGGGCCTAAAAGGGAGGAGGAATCCAACAAACTGTAATAGAAACTAAACCCACTCGCAATCTTGAGGAAAGGTTTTATAGAACGAGGAATAATCAACTGGAGTGAGTAGGATTTAGCCGGCCTGGTAGCAGAGAGTCCCAGGCAGTGAGAACAGCATGCTCAGAGGTGTGAGAGACCACGCCTTGTTGTGGCAACTAAGTAGTTTTGAATGTTTGGAGCATAAAGTGGAATCACGTGGAAGGCAGGGATGGTAGAGAGGTCAGTGGGGCCCAGATCACAGACAGCTTTTATAAGTCATGCTTAGGAGATTGGACTTAAAATTGCATAGCTGAAAATCATGCAGTTATATCTCATTTGGAGTATAATGACTAATATTTTTAAACTGCTAGCATCACATCTGGCAGCATCTGTCATACCGTATTAGGGGTGGGGGGGGGGTTGGAAGTTAGCCCTGCTTGGCCTGCTAAGTATCCGTATGCTGCGTACATACTCTGAGTGTTTGAAGAGATTGGGAGGAGGGCAATACCAGGAATCTAGTATTTTCTCTACGGTTTTTACTACCCCAGACCTGCCCCTTAAAAGTTCTGGAATCTTGGGGTGGGGGTGCACATGTGGGGGTTGGCCATTGGAAAGAGGCAGTATGAGCTGAATACCTGGCAATAATGGTGGTAACTAAAATTTCCTGAGTACTTACTGTGTGCTAGGCATGGTTCTAAGGACATTATGCATATTAACTCATTTAAAAAAAAAAACAACTCCCAGTTACTCCAAGTTAAGTACTATTATTATTTCCATTTTGCAGATGAGGAAACAGAAGCGTGAGAGGATAACTAACTTGCTTGAGAGTACAGTTAGTAAATGGCAGAGTTGGGGTACAGGTCCTGTCATCCCACCACATTATACTGCACTGCCGCCATTGACGGGGGTGTGAAGCCCATTTTCACCGGGGGCCACATCAGCCTCGAGGTTGTCTTCAAAGGGCCCAGTGTAATTTTAGGACTGTGTACATGTAACTACTCCTTAATAGTTAAGCGAGAGCTGGGTGCTGCCGCTGGGTAGCAACAAGGTGGAGGGTCGGATTCGGCCCTCGGGTTCGTTATACCTGCATTACAATCTTGCATTTGCCATTTACTAGCTCTCTGGCCTTGGGCAAGGTCTTTTACCTCTTGGCCCAAGTTTCCTCGTTTGTATAATTAGGGTAGTAATGCCTATTTGTTTCCCTGGCTGGTGTGGCTCCGATGGATTGCGTGCCAGACTGCGAAGCCAGCGGTTGCCGGTTTGATTCCCAGTCGTGGCACATTCCTGGGTTGCAGGCCACGTCTCCGGTAGGGGACCCACGAGAGGCAGCCACACATCAATATTTCTCTCCCTCCCCCTCTTTCTAAAAAGAAATAAACAAAAATCTTAAAAAAAATAATGCCTATTTGTTGATTAGAGGATCACAGCAATATATTTAAAGTACATAGAAGCTGAATAAATTGAAATTATCATAGCTGGTAGGTTCAGGTGGACCTCTTTGTGCTTCCATGTAGGGCGGGGGTTCTGGAGTTCTGCAGTGTTTAAAGGAGGACTAACGAATCTTGGCCCACTCTCCTCTGCCTTATGCCGTTGCCACAATGCTAGGCTGAGGAACTTAGTTCTCTAGCTTCGGGGAACGATTTCATTTGGGTATAAATGGATAAGCTGAGTAGAGACCGAAATTCCGTAGTAACCCTGGGTCCCTTATGCCCTGGGCCTAGTTCTCCTTTCTACCCACAGTTTGGAGTTTGAGAATCAGAAGACTCGCTTGGGCATCCAGCTGGACTTTGAGAAGAACCAGCTGAAGGAGGACCAGGACAAAGTGCACATGTGGGAGCAAACAGTGAAGAAGGATGAAAATGAGATAGAAAAGCTCAAGAAGGTAAGCAAGGAGAGCCTGAAAAGAGACTCAAAACAGGGGGAGAAAAATGGAAGAGATGTGAGCAAAGGATAATATCCACCATTTATAAAGCTCTCATCAAAATCAGACCCTTGGCTGGTATGGCTCAGTGGACTGAGCGCCGGCCTGTGAATCAAAGAGTCACCAGTTCGAGTCTCAGTCAGGGCACATGCCTGCGTTGTGGGCCAGGTCCCCAGTAGGGGGCATGTGAGAGGCAACCACCCATTGCTGTTTTTCTATTTTTCTCCTTCCCTTCCCCTCTCTGAAAATAAATAAATAAAAATCTTTAACAAAGAGAGAGAAATAAGAAAAATACCAAGATCTAAACAGGAAATAAAAAGGGGCTTGTGGCAGAAACAGTTGCAGAAGAGATTCAAATAACCCATACACATACACATAATTTAGTTTCTAGAAATCAGAGAAATGTGAACTAAAGCAACCATCACATGTAATTTGTTTCTTATCACATTACCCAAGTTTTTTTTTTGTTTTGTTTTTTTTTAAGGATAATGCTTGCTACTTGTCATGGTGCAGGAGACCACCTGTGTTAAGCCACGTGGCTCCATGTACCCAAAGTGTGGGAAACTATCCAGTGTCCTTTGGAAATTAGGGATTTGGCAGATTATACTACACTCATACAAGTATTTGTGTAGTTTAATGGTGTTCAAATTTTAGTAATACATGGACCCTCCTTCAGAGGACTTTCCTTAAGATCTCTTGTATTGGGTTTTTAAAAATCCTTAATGTTGCTTAAACATATATACAGACATGCACAGGGTGGGGCAAAAGTAGGTTTATAGTTGTTCATGTGGGGAACAAAAGTAGTGCTATAAGAATAAACTCTGTGTCATGTACTCAGAACTGTAAACCTACTACTTCCCCACCCTGTATACTTGGAACATGTAACCAGAAAGCCAATACAGAGTTCCAAGTTGAATTTTACAATGAACCACATTAGTTCAGTGCAGCAGCTGATGATGTGCTGTGATTCGTCCCTTTTCGCAGTGTGTCTGTGCGGCTCACCTTTCCCCACACCTCCTCTAATTCAATTCCAGTCAAATCCTTCCTTGTTCCTCAAAGGACCTCACTCCTGAGGTCCTTTGGTCCATATGTGACTTCTTTGTCTGTCTATGTTGTTGGTTTGTGTATTTTTTTCATTAAACGTCAATGTTGAAAGTAGTCCTCTTTGGTGTCACCAGAATCTTAAGTACAAATGCAGATTGGGCGGTAAATTCTGGGGCAGGACTAGGTATCTAGATGATCCAAAGGCACAGGTTTCCATGACTGTGACTTTTCATTTTGAAATCATTTTAAACTTAGCAGAAAGTTGCAAGAACAGTACAAAGAATTCCCATCTACCCATCACTACGATTCATCATCAGTCATTAACATGTTGCCTTGTTTGCTTTTGCATACTCTCTGTGTCTGCATGTTGTTTTTTATACGTCCCTCTCAGGTGACTTAAAGATCACAATGAAAACAAAACGTTCTCCTTTTAAACAGTCAGACCGTTACATAAATAAGACTGTAGCCCACTGTGGCTGACCACTCTCATTCCCAGTCCCTACTCTCCCTGGGGCTTAACTCCACGGAGTGTGTGTTCTTCCAGACCTGCAGGTATAGCCTTAACTACTTTTACATTCATACATGTGTACTCATAGAAGAAAATACCACCATACTGTTTGGGTTTTAAAGAAAATTAATGTTATACAGCTCACAACAGTGGTTTTGATGTGGAAAAGATGCTCAAGTATAACATTAAGTCAGAATATCGAATTTTAATTACATTCTCATCTCAACTATGTAGAGCTGGCTATAAGTAATGCTGTGAGGAAATAGGCTAAAATATTGATCGGTTATCTTTAGCTGGTGGGATTATATGAGTGATTTTTTGTCCCCGCTATGGAATACTTTTTCTATACTTGGAACTTTTCTACAGTAGGCAGCTGGTAAAATGGGGGCAGCCAGATAATTTAGCATAAGCTAAAAGAAGTTTATGGGGTGATGGGGGGTTTGTGAAAGTGGAACTCATTGAAGGGGGGCTCCAACAAACTGGTGGAGAGGGCGGGGGCCAAGGGGACGGTCCTGAGGTGAGATAAGGAGCCTCACCTCTTGTCCTGTTCCCCCTGTTGGGACCAGGAGGAGCAGAGACACATGAAGATCATAGATGAAACCATGGCTCAGCTCCAGGATCTGAAGAATCAACACCTGGCCAAGAAGTCAGAGGTGAATGACAAGAACCATGAGATGGAGGAGATTCGTAAGAAACTGGGGGGCGCCAACAAGTGAGTGGGATCAGGCCTGGGCTTGGGGCAATTAGGTAGAGCAGACGGCTGGCTGGATTTGGGTCTCACTTATCTCCCCGGATCTCCTTAGGGAAATGACCCATTTACAGAAGGAGGTGACAGCCATTGAGACCAAGCTTGAACAGAAGCGCAGTGACCGCCACAACCTGCTACAGGCCTGCAAGATGCAGGACATCAAGTTGCCGCTGTCTAAGGGCACCATGGACGATATTAGTCAGGAAGAGGTGAGTATCATGGCTGGTGGTGGGAGTAAGCTGTGAGCTATGTTACCCAGGGAGGGCAGGAGAGAGAGAGAAGGATGGTGGGCAAGGATGATGGGGGCACATAAAGGGGGATGGCAGGGTAAGGCGAAAGGCAGGAGCCTGCTGTGAGAGGGAAGCTGCAATGCAGGTAGAGCTGGATGGCAGTAGGCAGTAGGTAGGAGAGGAGAAGATGTAATCATTCATTAACCTTAGGACTTGAGCTAGGTTAGCTCCAGCAGGTGATAGATATTGGTAGGGTAGGAATTGAGGGGCATTAGCCAAAAGGAAGGGAAGGTGGAAGCTGGAGGACCTGAGGAATAATAGCTCAGCTGCAGTGGGGGAGGTTGGCCAGGGGAGGGTTGGGTAGGGGGGCATCAGCAGTGCAGAGAAGATGAAGCTTAGTTATAGGAAAGGGAGGGACACTAGCTGATAAAGGAGCCAAGGCATTTTATCCATTGGGAATGGAGATTGCTATCAAGAGGTGGGAATGTTTACTGAGAGGAGGTTTGCATATGTCTTGTCTTCTACCTGGACATGTATATCAGTTTGATGCGTCTTTCTCCCTCCCCGTCTCCAAAAGAACATTTTAGTTTAATTCAGCAAACTATTTTGAACACCAGAAATGCACCAGGCCTCATGGTATCACGTGACATAATTACCCCTAATTCGAACCACAGTTCTGCTGGGCAGGCATGGCCCCATGTTAACAGATGAGAGAGAACTCGCATCCACCAGCATGACTCGCCCAGGATCGTACCCTTGGCAGGGATAGAGCCCAATTTTGAACTCAGATCTTCTGCCCTCAAAGCTGTTGTCTTGCTCCCAGGTGCTTTCTCAGTGATTGAAGGCTGCAGAGGACCCTCCAGCCCCTTCAGGAGGGGCCCTCTCACTGCCAGTCTGCTTCATTCCACTCCCTGTTGCCGTTGCAGGGGAGCTCCCAGGGGGAGGACTCCGTGAGTGGTTCCCAGCGGACTTCCAGTATCTATGCCCGAGAAGCCCTCATCGAGATTGACTACGGTGACCTGTGTGAGGATCTGAAGGTGAGGATTGGCTTTGGGGGTGGGGGACGTCTTCCCAGCAGTCCAGAGAGAGGGTCAGCTCATCTCCTCTGAGGGCTGTCTGGAGACCAGGACCAGAAAGAAGGGCAAGCTGGCAAGAGAGGGAGGCTTGAGTTTTGATCCAGGGCGTCCCCTTACACGCACACACAGATACCTGCACAGCTTCTCCCCCGCCCTCAGGTGCGCCTGTTCCGCCTGCTGCTCGTCTTCCCCTTCCTTGCATGGACGCTTCTTAGGCCTGATTCACACACAGAGGAAAGGTTTCCGAACAGATAGACCTTAGTCCTCATTCCCAGGCATTCTTTCCTTCTCACTTGGCCTTCTCTCATCCTGGCTTGCTCTTTCACTCCCCCGCCTTCCGCTGCCATCTCTGTGCTAGGTCCCACGGGTACTTCAAAGCCCAGCCCTCTTCCCCAGATCTGCCCCTTCTTCTCAGAACCAGCCACACTTTCAAACCAGAAATCCGAGCGCCATCCTTGATTCCCTCTCTCACTCTGCCTATTCAGTGAATTACCAAGCCCTATCCATTTTGTCTCCTAAATATCCGTTGAATTCTCTTTTTTTCTGGTCCCACTAGTATAGGCCACTTTCACCTCTCACATGGAGGAGCCTCCTAAATAGATTCTGATGCTTTCCAGTCCATCATGGTAGTCAGGGGGACTTGATTTTTTTTAAACTTTTAATGGAAATTTTCAAATACACACAGAAGAATAGAGAATGCCATAATGAACCCCCAGATACCCATCACCCTGCTGCAGCAATGAGCAACATATGGTCAGTCTTGTTTTTTATATCCTTCCGTCTTCCCATTGGCCTGTTTTATTTAAATCAAATTCCAGGTATTATTCCATTCACAGCCGGACTCTTTTAAAAATGTAACCACAGTATTATGCCAAAAATAATTTTACTAACAACTCTGTAATGGTCTAATACTTAGTAAATGTTTAGTTTTCCATGAATGTCCCATAAATATCTTTTTTTTCTTTTTCTTTTTTCTTTTCTTCTCTCTCTCTTTTTTTTTTTTTTTTTTTTTTTTGCACAGTTTCTGTGTTTAAATCAGGATTCAAGTGAGGTCCATATGTTGCAATTGGTCTCTTCTGGTCTATAACATTTTCTTTTCCCTTTGTATTTTTTTTCTGCCTATTTAGGGAAGAAACTGGGTCATTGGACCTGCACAATTTTCTACATTCCGAATTTGGCTGATTATGTCTCATGATGTTATTTAACATGTTCTTCCCTCCCCTGTATTTCCTGTACACTGGTGCTTAAATCTAGGGTTTGATTGGATTCAGGTTCGTTTTTAATTTTTGACAAGAATATACCCTAGTCGGTGCTGGGTACGTGTGAACTTTCTTCCGCATCGTGTCAGTGGACACTGAGTGCCAGTCGCATCTTTGTCACAGAATTGGTCAGTGCTCACCATTGCTTGTGAAATATACTTGTCAAAAACTCAAGGATCTGATCAAGCTTTTATATCAACCCATTATAAGAAACACTGGTGTCAGAGGAACATGTTAAATAAAAGCTCAGGGATGCATTCAGCTAAATCCAGACTGGGAAACTAAAGGACAAAAGATCTGTTCTCTTCCATAAATAAATGGGAAGAAAGGAAAATACAGAGGGAGGACTTTTATAGACTATAGGAGACAAATCAGCCAATTGGAATATGTGGCCGTCCCTTGAATCCAAAGAAAAGAGAGGAAGGGGAACTTTTAGGTTAAATGAGGTTTAAGAGACATACATCATCCAGTTGCAATGTGTATACTTTATTTGGAACTTGCTTTGAAAAGCCTTTACAATTTTTTTAAAAATAAAACAATCAGGATGATTTGAACACAGACTAGATAATTTATGATGTTGAGGAATCGCTAAGATTTTTAGGTGAGTCAATGGTATTGGGCTTTTTTTAAAAATATTTTTTTTTATTTATCTTTAGAGGGGAAGGGAAAGAGAGAGAGGGAGAGAAATATCAGTGTGTGGTTGCCTCTCGTGCATCCCCTGCTGGGAACTGGCCTGCAACCCAGGCATGTGCCCTGACTGGGAATGAAACTGCGATCCTCTGGTTCGCAGGCCTGCGCTCAATCCACTGAGCTACACCAGCCAGGGCGGTATTGGGTTTTATTTTAAACTGTCCTGTCTTTTACAACAGTGGTTCAAAATTGGGGTGGGGTGGGGTGGGTTTTGCATCCCTAGGACACTTTCGGTAGTGTCTGGAGATGATAACCCGTCTCACGTACTTGTCACAACTGCAGCAAAGGTTACTGCTGGCATCTGGCCCGAAACGTCAGTAATGCTGGGAGTCAGACACCTGGTGTCAGAGCTACAATTCCATATTACACCTAATTTCATTATTGAAGTATTTGTAGATGTTTCAATATTGAAGTATTTGTAGATGTTTCAATATTGAAGTATTTGTAGATGATATGTCTGAGACTTTTTTAAAGATTTTATTTATTTTTAGAGAGAGGGGAAGGGAGGGAAAAAGATGGAGAGAACCATCAGTGTGTGGTTGCCTCTCACTCGCCCCCTACTGGGGGGAACCTGGCCTGCAACTCAGGCAGGTGCCCTGACTGGGAATCAAACCAGTGGCCCTTTGGTTCACAGGCCAGCGCTCAGTCCACTGAGCCACACCAGCCACAGCTGAGATGTGTTTTAGAATAATTGACTATAGAGAAGAATTGGGTATAGATGGCAGAGTATTTGCCATGAGTTGATAATTGCTGAAGCTGGGTAATAGGTCAGGGGAGTTCATTATATTCTCTGCACTTCTTGTGTGTGTTTGAAAAAAGAAAAACAGTCATGATCACTGGGTCCAGGTGGTGTGAGCCCTCTCAGTGTTCATGAAGTTCCCGGTTAGCCTTTCCCTGGCTGGGGTTAGCAGCTCTTCCTGATCACTGCTTAGATCCCCCGGGCTTTCAAAATGCTAATTTTCCGATTCTTTCATGCCTCCTTCACTTACTAATTGGATGTCTAAAAAGAGCTTTCTCACATCGACTATTTAATTCCCTTGAAATACAGTTAGTATAGAAAATGTAGGATAAATACTTAATTCTTCTCCTTTATTCACCAGGTCTTAGAATGAGTCGGTTGCTGTTGGTTGCCATTGTAACCTTTAAAGGTTACCAATGCGGTTTTTAATTTGTATTTATTATAAACACAAGAATTTAAATATATTTGCATCTGTTTCAGTCTATTGGAGTTATTTTCCTTTTGGAGGTGCACATCATCCCATCCTTGACCAGTGGGAGCCACTTCAAGTTGATTTGGGGTTTTTTTTTGTCCTTAGTTCAGATTTTTGTTATGGAAATTTTCGTGTGCATAAGTAAAACGATGCGGTGCTGTCCCATGTCGCCATGGCCAGTTTCAGCAGTTACCGGCTCATGGCCAGACGGATCTCACATGCCGCCCCATCCATTCCCTTGTTCCTTCTTTCTCAACCCCAGGTTATTTACAGATACATTCTGGACCTTGTGTCATTTTGTTTGTAAATATTTCAGAATGTAGCTGCCAAAAGAAATAATTTCTTCTTTGTTTATTACCTGGAAAACTATAAAGAGAGATTTCCTCTCATCAATGAGATGATTACCCTGAAGTACAGTTCGTACAGGAGAGGCAAGAGAGATACGCCCTTCATTACCATTTTATAAAATAATGGGTTATTTCTGTGGCATTCTCAAGAAGAGTCCACTGAATTGTTTTCTTATCATTAGGAACTTTAATGAGTTGCAACACATTTGATGTGTTGTATCCTGTGGTGGTAATTATTCTTACTGATCAAGTTGTCACATCTTTGGCCAGTGGGAACTCATTCCAATTGGTTTCGGAATTATTTTGCCACAACTCTTTCGGTCTTTGATACTCCCTTCCCTGCTCCCTGGTCTTGCCAGGCTCATCTTCTACATTTTCTACCCCAAGACTTGGAGTTAGCCATTTCTCTGCAAAGCTCGAACTTCTCTTAGTAGGAAATGCTTATTACTTAGTGACGGCCATCTGCGCGCTGCAGTGCTCCTGACTGCTGGGTTGCTTGGTGCTTCTAGAACTTTTTGGTAGACTGGGCTACAAAATGCATTTTTTTAATTTTGAAGGAAAATGTGTCATGAGTTTTTATTTATACTTCCAGTTTAAATTGTAATTCTCAAAGTTCAACATCATTGATTTTGTGTTTGAGTCTCCAGTTATTTTTGCCGAAAATCTTGGTTCCTAGCAACACTAACATAGTAACATACTTTATCCTCTTCTGTAACAGTTTGGAAATCACAATACAGTACTATTAGTAACACTTTAATTATCGAATGCTGTTTAAGATTTCCTTGCTGTTCATTGTTGCTAAGCTAATAGCTCATTCAGCATGCTCGCTTGTGTTTCTGTGTTTTAAAGTAATTTGAAAGAATTATGAGTGTTTAACCAATTTCATGTATAGTCAGGTTTCTTTGTTTAGTTTTCAGTTTTTAAGGGATTGCTATTTTTGAATATTTTATTTTTCCCAGCTTTAACTTTAAAAATGTTCAAGCCTATAGAAAAATTGAAGCAGCAGTATAGCGAACATCCATATGCCTTTTACCGTAAGTTCACCAATGAAATTTTTTCAGTCTGCTTTCTCTCTCATCTTGATTCCCTCCCTCCATACAGCACACTTGTTTTGTTTTTGCTGAACTGTATGAAGGAAGTTGCAGACTTCACTCTTAAGTGCTGCAGCATGCTGAGAACAAGAGTTCTCCTCCGTAACCACAATTCCATATTACACCTAATTTCATATTCAATAACTCGCCCATATTCACCCTGGCTGGTGTGGCTCAGTGGATTGAGTGCCAGCCGGCGAACTGAAAGGTCTCTGATTCGATTCCCAGTCAGGGCACATGCCTGGGTTGCAGGCCAGGTCTCCAGTAGGGGGCATGCGAGAGGCAACCAATCGATGTTTCTCTTGCACAACTATGATCCTATCATATATTGTTTTTTGTTGTTATTTCTCTTTAGTTTCTTTTAACATAGAGCATTCTGCCCCCCCCCCTTTTTTTTTTTCATAACATTGATCTTTTGAAGGGTCTATATGTTATCTTTTTTCCTGTTTGTTGTCCTGAAGAATGGATACGTGATGGACATGTTGGTTTGTTTTCATTGTTGCTGAACTTATTTTTCCTGTGAGTTGGAAGTTTGATCTAGTCCGGAGACTTGACAGATTTGGGTTAAGTAATTTTTCGGCAAGAACATTTCCTTGGTGAGGCTTTGTGCTTTGTGTTGCATTATGCCAGGAACCATATAATGTTAGGATGTCCCATGTTTATGATGCTAAGTTTGGTCCTCAGTTAAGGTGTCAATTGCCAAATCTCTCATAACACTAAACATACACTTTCAACTTTGTAAATAGTTAGTAATCTTTAGGGTGATTCTTTAACATCTTGTGAATATCTTATTCCCCAACACCTTTTTTACCCAGTGTTTTTCACATTTTGAATCAATTTTGTCTTATAATTATTTAGTCTTCATATCGTTGTGAAACCAAATGTATAGCACAAGGTCCATGAAGAGAAGTTAGCTTCCTGTCCTGTGCCCTTCACCGCCCTTCCTCTTTGGGTAACCATTTTAATTCGTTTTTGGATTATTCTCGTTTTGCTCTTGTACTTTCAACACATGAATATATTTGTATGCAAATATATTCATATTTCTTCTCTCAGATAAAAGATAGCATTGTGTTGTATACCTTTCATGTTTCACTTATAACGTATCCTAGAGAGGACTTTTCTAAGACACCTATATGCAGCCCCAGAGTCGGAGTTAGGTGATCTTCCTGTGTGCCGACCCCACGTGTCTGTTTGGTGTAGTTTTGGTGTCACCATATGGTGTTCTCCTTGTTTACCTCTCTGCATTCCTCTGTTAGTCCACAGGCTCTGTGAGCACAGGAACCATGGCTCACAGGATATGGGGCCCCAGTGCCTGGCACTCGGACAGCATTCCGGAAATATTTATTCACTCAGTGTTGCAGAAGGGCACTTATCCATGAAATGTAAAGGCGAAATCCATACAAGCTAAAACCAGACTCGAGTGGAATTTGCTCAGATGTAGCGATCAGGGCAGAAAACGTGTGTTGCCTTATTTATTATAGAGTCCAGGCCAGCCTGTGCGGGAACCTCCAGGTCACCCTGACAGGGGGCTGGCTCATGGCCTGGGCTGAAAGCCAAAGAGGGGCACCACCAGCTGCTGCTCTTGAGAGATGGAGGAGTCGACAGGACTTGGGGGAAGGGCTAGGGATGAGAAAGCAGCATCAGCCTATAATTTCCAGGGGTGATGGGAGTGGTTACTATGGGAGGAACCAAAGAACCTGCCTTCTCCTCCGGAGCATATCCCCAAGCAGTCAAGCATCTCTGTGGGGGCCTGGGCTCGGGGACCTGGCCCGTCTTGATGTTGTTGGGCCTGGGGTTTACAGGATGCCCAGGCTGAGGAGGAGATCAAGCAGGAGATGAATACACTGCAGCAGAAACTAAATGAGCAGCAGAGTGTGCTGCAGCGGATTGCTGCCCCCAACATGAAGGCCATGGAAAAGCTGGAAAGTGTCCGAGACAAGTTCCAGGAGACCTCAGATGGTAGGATTTCGCCCTTTTACTTGGACCTAAGATGAAGGCAGGAGGCTGGCGGCATGGCCAGGGCCTGTTGCGAGCACACACCCTGGCAGCTCCCGTTCTTTACATGCTTTTTTAAAGATTTTATTTATTTTTTACAGAGAGGGGAAGGGAGAAAAAGAGGGAGAGAAACAACAGTGTGAGAGAGAAACATCAATCAGTTGCCCCAACTGGGGATCAAAGCAGTGACCTTTCAGTTTGCGGAACAGTGCCCAACCCACTGAGTCACCAGTCAGGGCTTCACACCTGTTTTATAGAAAAGGAAAACTGCTCAGGTTCAGAGAGAGTGAATCCCCTGTTGAGGTCACATAGCCAGTTCACCGGCTGGCTGTGTAGAGCCCAGGGAAGAATCGCGTTCGTGTGGCTCCGAGGCTGTGTTTCTTCCTTGGCACTGTGGTGGCCAGCCCGCTGGATACAGCTGGTTGAGGTACCGTCTTCCTGGGACTCTTCCCCAGGCGTCCATCTCTCCCTCTCTGGGATATTCCTGCTCCACAGATTGTCATTTGCAGGTCATCCTTGTCAGACAGAGCTTGTTCCTCAGCCTTGGCAGAGCCCGGGCACTGAGGAGTCACGTGTCTTTCCCTTGTGGCAGAGTTTGAGGCGGCCCGAAAGCGAGCCAAGAAGGCCAAGCAGGCATTCGAACAGATCAAGAAGGAGCGCTTTGACCGCTTCAATGCTTGTTTCGAATCTGTGGCCACCAACATTGACGAGATATATAAGGCCCTGTCCCGCAACAGCAGTGCCCAGGTAGGCTGGAGCCCCCTTACCCAACCAGCCCTTATTATCCTCAGTCACCTTCCCATCTATGCCTCCTGTCCCCATCCCCATGCAGACCGAGACGCCAACCCTCACCCATCTGCCTTGTCCCTAGGCATTCCTGGGCCCTGAAAACCCAGAGGAGCCCTATTTGGATGGCATCAACTACAACTGCGTGGCCCCTGGCAAACGGTTCCGCCCTATGGACAACTTGTCAGGGGGAGAGAAAACGGTGGCAGCTCTGGCCCTGCTCTTTGCCATTCACAGGTAAGGCTGGGCCCTCCATGGCAGTTGGCGGAGAGACTGACCTGAGGCCCCTGGAGGCTCTGGGGCCCAAGGATGTGCAGAGATCTGAGGGGTAAAGGTGTTCCGAGGGAATCTGGATTGCATTCCGGTTCCCCTGCCTACAACACATGTGGCCTCATTTCCTGGACCTGACTTCCCCGTCCACCCTCACACACTCAGTGTGCCCTCACTGGCCCTTGCACGTATTCAGTTCCATCGCCAGGCTGTTGCTCACACGGTCGCGGGCTAATCAGCCCTCTCCATGCAAATCTAGCTTGACTGTTACCCACACCCCTTCAGGTCCCATTCTCCTCCTCTTCCTCGAGGAAGCCTGCTTTGACCACTGTAGCATAGCTTGACCTTCCTCAGTACCGGAATCTGACCCCCGCAACCGAGTGCTTGATTGTACAAAGTCTTTCAGCGAGTGTCTCTTGATGGCTGCTCTGTACCAGACTCCGTGGGGGGGATTGGGGACACAGATGTCTCAGGCATGGTCTCTGTCCTCAAGGACTTTGCAGTCTAGTGGAAGCCAGATGTGTAAACAGACAGCGGCTAATTGTTGTAACCAGATGAGCCTGTGTGCTATGGATGCACAGAGGAGAGACAGCAACCCAATCTGGAGAAGGGTGTGGGTGGCCAGGGAAGGCTGTTACAGGCAGGCTAGGTAACACTGGGGCAGGAAATGTAAAGAATGAGTAGGAATTGGCCAGACAGATGAGTGGGTGTCCAGGCGGAGGGCACAGCATGTGTCCAGGCAGGGAGACGTGACAGCACGGCACAGGTGGGGCGGGCCTCTAGGTCGTCTGGTCAGTATGGCTAGAGCCTAGCCACAGGGCTGGATGCAAGGGAGGATGCGGTGGTTCTCTTGGCCTTTAGGGGATCAGGGAACGTTAAGATCTGGGATGTTTAGTCTCTGAAGAAGCAGAGGGGTGGCTGGCCTGTCCCACCCTCACCCCCTTGGTGTCAGCTCACCTTCTGGTTCTCTCCCAGCTACAAGCCAGCCCCCTTCTTCGTCTTGGATGAGATCGATGCCGCCCTAGATAACACGAACATTGGCAAGGTGGGTCCAGGGAAAGCGGGGCCTGGGATGGAGGCCCCTCGGTGGGGGCTGGGTTTTGGGGAGCCATTGCTGAGTGTGCCCTAGTTGTTCCTGCTACTTGCTCTCTGTGCTGGGGAGGTTGGGCCCGGGGTCATTCACACCGTGCTAGTCGGTGGCCTCTTCTCAGTATCTCTTCTCCTGATACTCCAGCTTCTGCCTCTGGCTCTTACTGGAGAATACAAGGCACAGTGCTAGGTCCTCAGCCCTGCTAAGTATTGGTGGCCCCTTCCGCAGGTGGCCAATTACATCAAGGAACAGTCGACCTGCAACTTCCAGGCCATCGTCATCTCTCTCAAAGAGGAATTCTACACCAAGGCTGAGAGCCTCATTGGCGTCTACCCTGAGGTAGAGCGGGACTGGCTCAGAAGCCAGCCCCACTCCCTGCCTGACTCCCCAGGGCAGGAAGGGAGGCCGAAATGGAAGGGCACAGGGGCCGGGAAGTATAGACACCTGAACCGCCATCTGGGCCTGTGGGACCTTTGCCCTGGAGGCTTACCCAGCCGAGCTGGGCAGGGCCTTGGCAATTGGGTTGAGGTAGAAAGGCCAGGCAGAGGCACCCACACGGCAGAGAAAAGGAGGGGCATGCAGAGGTAGGCAGGCAGAGAAGGCACATGGGACCAAGCACATCTCCTCACACACAAAGAGAACCATTGCTTGGGCTTTCGGTAGATATGTAGGGAGGAGGGTTTGAGGTCCCCAGTTCTGGGAAGCTAGACCCCTGTTAATTTCGTGTTTCTTTCTCTCCCTCCTCCTTCAGCAAGGAGACTGTGTGATCAGCAAAGTCCTGACCTTTGACCTCACCAAGTACCCAGATGCCAACCCCAACCCCAATGAACAGTAGTACTTCTTCCCTCCCACCCTGTTGATCCCAGAGCTGCCCATCTCCCAGTCTCTGGATATTTGTCTCCCAGCCTTCCCCTCCCTCCTGTGTCTGTCTGCTATAGTCACGGCATTTAGGCACTGCTGTCCAGCGCAAAGAGGAACGGAGGTGATGTTAGGTCTGGAGCAAAAACTGAGCTACAGGGAGCATCCTGGCCTCTGGAAGGAATTGCTGAGCTGAACAGGGCCAGCTGCCCCTTCCCACTTCTCCTGCTCCCAGACGTCCCTTCCCATCATCCATAATCATGGGTCTGTGAGACCGCTTGCATTCTGCATGTGTGTGGGGATAAGTGTGTGTGTGTGTGGGGGGGTATGTTTGCAAAATAATAAAGATATTGCAGATTCATTTTAGAAGCCTAGGTTAAATTGGACTCCAACAGAGCTTAGTATGACTGCACCTCCCAGCTGGGCATAGATAATTCAGTGCCTCATAGGAAGGAGTCAGGCAGTCACGTGGAATTGCATGCATTCACTCGTTTGTATTTTCTCTTTTTCATTTATTCATGTGTTTATCAGATGCATACTAAACACTCTTTATCTGTCAGGCTCTCTGGTAGGAGTGCAGAGCTGAATCAGACATGATCCCTCCTAAGGAGATGTAGTAGGTTCATGAGTTCCTGTGGTTAACTGAATCATGTATGGGCACTTTGAATTCAAGAAGAGGACGATCACCTCCAGGCTTCCTGGAGAACGGCACATTTGAGCTGGACCTTGACGAGTCAGTAGGATGTGGTCAGGCACTAGGAACAGAGCCCGGGCTCTGGGGACAGACAATTATATGTTCTAGTTCCATATTTTATCCCTTACTAGTTTGACATTGGGCAAGTCATTTGGCCTTTCTGTAGCTGTTTCCTCACCTAACAAAGTTACCTACCTCTTTGGATTTAATGATGTCAAGCTTCTCACTGGATGCCTTATCCGTGCTTGGAATCCATGAGGTGCTTAACCCTCAGAGGGCGGTTTTCTTGTGCCTGGAGCCCTGGCGGTTTCTGATGCCAGTTTGGGATAAAAGGCGCCTCCAGATCTGGGAGATGCCAAATGCCCTGGTCACTAGGAAAGTTCCAGAGCACTGATCAGGTTTACTGGGTAAGTGGAGGGCCTAAGGAAGCCTACAGTTTCAATCGTGTATGTTAACTGGGTGGCTGGGCCGTGCCCCATCCAAACACAAGTGATGTTTGGGGAACGAACTGCTTTACTGGCAGGGACCGTGCAGGGGCGGTTCTCTGGTTCGCACACCGTCAGGCCATCATCCCCTTGTCCTGGTCTGTAACTGCGTTTGTGTCTTTGGCAAGTTAAAGCAGTTCCAGTTAAGTAATACATGAATCTACTCTCTTTTTTAAGGATTACATGATTACAAATAAAACTAGCCTCATTCAACTACCATTTCCCCTCCCAACCTGAACTGCTGTTCTGTTGTGTATCTGTCTAGACCCTGAAGACCTACCCATACATAAGATCATTGGAAATGTTACTGTGTTTACTGCAGTTTATGGAGACGTTCTGCAGTTTGCTTTCTCAGCTTAATATTTTTGAAATCTCTGCATGCCACAAGTAGGTTCAGATCATCCTTTCTAATTGCTGTATAGATAGTGATCATAGGACTCTATCAAATTTTACCCATTTCTCTTGTGATAGTAAGACTTCTGTTTTTGATATTACAAAATACTACATAGGAGTATCGTGCGTGTGTGTGTGTGTGTGTAGAATTTACCTACAGTGGATTCCAGGGGTTGAATCAAGTGAGTCATAGGCTATTTATATTTTTGTTTTTAATACATACTTCCAAATTACCCTCCTGTACTATTTACTCAATAATTTTCTTTGAGATTATCTTAGATTTAATATCATCGTCGACATCAGTTTCATCCTAAGTAGTGATGCCCATGAAATCACAGGTTTTATGTGCTTGGTGTTTTTTTAAATACATATTAAAAGGTATACTAACAAAACAAATTTGTCTGTGTTCAATCAAAGAAGACCTCTGTCACCAGCGGGCCATAGTTTGGGGAGTGCTGGCATCTCTGGGAAGACACAGTTTGGGAGTTGTGCTGGTTCAAATCCCGGCTGTAGAACCTTGAGCCCATTATTTCACCTGTGCGCGCCTCATTTTCCTCACACAGGAAAGGAGATAATAGAGGCCCACCTTGCAGCAGTATATATAGGAAAGATGAAATATGTTTGAAGCCATTTTGGTGAGCACAGGCTTTTGAAGGTAGCGACCGCTATTACCTCCATTTACAAATGCGGGTGGGGAGACCGAGGCCCAGGAAGGGCAGGTGACCTGGCTGCCAGATACCGGTGAGGGTTTGAATTCGGGCCCTCCGATTCAGTCTTGGGGTTTCTCCACGGGGAGGGTGGTTATCAACCTTACCTCGGACTTGAATCGCTTGTGAAGCTTCTTTTTAAAAGTCAAAGCAATACATTCAACAATACCGAGGTTGGAAAGCAGTACAGGAGGGCTTATTATAATCAAAAGCAGCAGTTTCCTTCTGCACCTCCACAACCAAAGGGCTTGGAGCTCCTTGCGCTGGTCCCGCCCCGGGAATCTGGTTAAGGAGGGTGTGGGAAATCATCTTGATCATCGATTTTCCACCTGTTTCATCCCACAGCACACGTTACTACAATTCTAGCACACCAAAAAATACACTTTTTGCTGATCTGACACAAATAGGTATAATTTTGGTTCATTCACACTGGATGGCTATTGTGTTGGCTGTTGTAATTTTTTTATTTGACAGTCTAAGGGAAAAGAGGTCAGTTAAATAGGTGTTGCATGTGTTAAAAATTCTTGTGGCACACTGGTTGAGAATCGCTGCTCTAGACAATTGATCCCTACCTCACAGGGTGGGAAGGGTAATGGGCTAAGGCCCTGGAGCACAAGAATACAAATGCTAAAAGGATCCTAAATCCTGAGGGTCAGAGGGAGATGACTTGTTCGACATCTGAGTGTTTCAGTGTCAGAGCCTAGACTTTGACTTGAGCCTTCGCTGCTGGCCCGGTGCCCCCGCATTGTGCGGATTGCCTCACATCATCAAGGACAACGCATGCTCAGTGAAGCTGCGCTCAGGGGGGTGCAGACACCAGGGTGTTTCCAACAGGAAGCTAAATGTCAGTCACAGCCTTAGGGCTCCTTGGAGAACACCAGGTTGAGTCTCTTGCACTGCGGCCCCTGCAGCCTTGGTCTAAGTTGTTGAGTACTTCCACACCCTGGCTGGTGTAGCTTAGTGGATTAAGCATGGTCCTGGGAACCAAAGGGTCACTGGCTCTATTCCCAGTCAGGGCACATACCTGGGTTGTGGGCCAGCACCCCAGTAGGGGGTGCATGAGAGGCAACTACACATTGATGTTTCTCCCCTTCCCCTCTCTCCAAAAAAAATAAATAAAAAAAAAATTTTTAAGGGGATACTTCCATGACAGTGTCTACTTGTAATCGGGCATGTCACAGAATCATGGTGTTTTACACCGAGGACACAAACATGAGCCTAATCTTAATCTTGCCTTGGAGGAGCTCACTTTCCAGTCCGGGAGGCAATGCAGAAAATGACCAGTAACCATATAGTGGCAGTGTGACCCGTGTTCTGAGGGCAGCATGGAAAAGGGGGGACGTCTAACTTAGGGAGAGGCTCAGGGATGACGTCTAGTCTAGGAGGTGAGACCTGAGCTGAATCTTGAGGGACTGGTAAAAATTTCCAGGGAGTGGGAATGGTATGCACAAAGACCCGAAGGCAAACAGCAAAGCAATTCAGAAATACTGAAGCGTAGGGTTTCCTGGGGTGGGGAAGAGCAGTGGGAATTGAAGCTGGAGAGGTCACGAACCAGATTTGAAGCGTAAGAGCCCGGCTACAGAGTCCAGCTTTACATCATGGGACAGTGTGGTTCCCAAACTGGCTGCACCCCAGAAACACAGGCATCCTGAACCTACCTTCTAAAAGTTCAGTTCCGGTAACTCTGGGCTGGGGCCTCAATCCTGAGTACCTGTGAAGGTCAGCACATGAGTGTAGGGTGCAGCCCGCTTAGAATTGGCGCATGAGGGCAGTGGGGGCCAAGGACACCGTGGAGTGGATTTAAGCAGGGGGGAGATTCAGTCGGATGTGAATTTGGCAACCCCTTTCTGGCCAGCCAGTGTGGAATGGATCAGGTTCGGTGCTCACACTGTATGCTACACACCTGTCGTTTCCCTGTTCCGTTCTCACAGTGTATCATATTTGCTTATTTTGTCTCTGAAAAAGCTGCAAGCAGGAGGGTGGGCCCGGGGTTATCTTTCTATGGTTATAGTCCCAGCAAAATTACAGTGCCGGACTCCGAGTAGACAGGTAATAAATAGTATTAGAGCGAACGAATGCATCAGTGACCGCATTTGTGAGGGAGACAGGGAAATTAGGAAGCGATTGAAAATACCTGGAGGCCTACTCAAGGGCAAGGACAGTGGGAATGGGTAAGGGACGATGATGAAGCGGACTTCGTGACTGATTATTGGGTGTGGGAGGTGACTGAGGATTGAATGGCTACCCATTAATGGCCAAGCTTCCCACCCTATCCCAGTAATTCTTCCTCATCTATCTGAATCAGAATCTCCTTTCAGACTCCTCAGTAACTGCAAGTCCTCTCCCAAGTTAGTCAAACATCCTCTGTGTGCTGTGTGGTCTCCCCGCCTTCCCAGCCATTGATTCATTCATCCAGTTCAATAAATCTTGGCTAAACACTTCCTGTGTACAGTGAGGCTCTTCCAAGCCAGAACTCTGACTCCTCTTTCCTACCTCAAGAGGTGCTTTTCAAATATTTTATTTATTTTAGATTTTATTTATTTTTCTAGAGAGGGCGAGGGAGGGAGAAAGAAAGGGAGAGAAACATCGATGTGTGTTTGCCTCTCACATGCCCCCTACTGGGGACCTGGCCTGCAACCCAGGCATGTGCCCTGACTGGGAATCGAACCAGTGACCCCTTTGGTTTGCAGGTCAGCACTCAACCCACTGAGCCACATCAAGAGGTGTTTTTGAGGGCTTCCCCAGGTAAAGACTCACATCCCTTACACAGTAACCTAAAGTCCAATGCCCAGATGTCAGACATGTAAGGGAACTTAGAGACTTTGTCCAACCCCCTACTGAGGTACTTAGAGGGGAAGGAACTTCCCCAAGGTCCCACCACTAGGGAGTGTTGGAGCCAGAGCTAGGACCTGGGTGTCTTTTCCACATGTCCCTCATTGAAGATCAGGACAGGCAGAGATGGCCACAGAGAAGGCGAGACTTAGGCTGGCCTTGAAAGCCCATGCCCTGGAGAGAGCAAACAAGAAGCTTTCCAACTGCACTGCCCCCTTCTGGAAACCCTCGGCAAACATGCCCGGCCCAC